CTATTGCTGCGCTATGTGGAAGGTGATGTCGTCTCCAAGTCCACAGCAGAGYGTGGGGTCGGGGTGGAACACACGCCCTTGGCCTCTGCACAGCCCCTTGGCCAGCACTGGTCACATGACCCCACCAGCCAGCCGCAGGGGAGGCTGGGAAGTGGAAGGACTCAGACTGTTGAACGAGGCCCAACTGTCCCTGCCCAACAATTGTATTGAGTCATAACTTGACCCCTCCCTCACATCTGCGCCTCGTCCTCTCCATGASGCATGCTAACCCCACTCCATTCCATTCTGGACTCTCTCTTCTCTTGTACCTTTAAAATGTTTCTTCCTCCAAGGTGCCTGGTTAGCCTTCTTCTCTCTTCCTGTCCACCCTCTCCCCTGAGTCCTTGTCCACTCTCACCCATTCAACCATCACTTCCTGGTAAAGGAGTCCATCTCACACGACTCCCTCTCCATGATTCAGAATTACTCCAGCCAGCGCCCTTTGCCTTCAGAGCCCTGACCTACCATCCACTCTGGGTCTCTCACTAAGAGTAAATTTGATAAGATCAAACTGGACTGTCTTGTGCAGTTCTGCATCCTTCATGCCTAAAGGAATGGCTTAGAAGTCTCCTTCCAGAAGCACATTTTCAACTTCCTATTGGGACCTGGGGGTGAGAAGAATCTAGGTCAAGAAGGGCTGGAATCTAGGTCAAGAAGGGCTTGCTCCATGACACGGTCTCTTGTTTGGTGGTTATTAGAAACCTCAAACAAAACTTAATGTTTGAAAAAAAATGTGAGGTTCAGTTGTGACAACCCAGTCTCCCAAGGTACCCTGCTCAGCCTTACTGTTAAATATTGGTTGTCTACTCATCTTTTTAGAAATTCCAACATATGGCATTATCACATTATAAGTTGCCACAAAGTCTTTCTGGAAGATTATAATTATCAACTCTAGATCTCTGCTTTCTACCTGGAAAATTCCATTTGATCTTTGAGTCTAGTTTCCTCAATGGCTCCAGATAGATTTCATCTGGTTCTCAAGGACTAGCTGCTGCCAGGACCTACTGCCTACATCCCGCTTTAGTCTGAAGACCAAGGCCCATCCAGCTAGCTCACAGGCAACAGAAGAGAGTCCACATTCCCGCTTGTGACCTTCCATGGGACAACTTCAACCTGCTCTTCCAGGCTCACTTCACGGACCCTGTGCTCTGAGTCACCAAATAGTTATAAAAGCTGTGTCCTGCTTAAGGGCACCTGACCAAGTGGCCAGCCAGGACTGAAATCCAGCCAAGGATTATGGGGCTATGTCTGTCTGAAGGGACACCTTTTCCTAATCCCACAAGCTGTGTCTACMACAGCCATAGCCCTGCCTAGGCTCCACCTATTAAAGATACTCCTCCTCCTCCTCCAGGAAGCCTCTCTTGATCTCCCCAGCCAAGCAATTCTCTCTCAACTCTGGACTCCTCTCCAGTGTCATCCTCCACCCAGTCTCAGTCTTACTCAGACTTATGGTAGAGGCTTTGTTTCAACCCCTTAAGGGCARAGACCACCTTATCCATTGCTGTATCCACCCTTAGCACCCTTYGCCCATGCTTACACAAAAGTGGTCTTTCATACACATTTGTGGAACATAATTGCTGCCTTCCAGGGGTGAAGCTGTGGATCCTGAACCTTCCTTCATGAATAATGAGACCTTGATTTTTTCATTCATTTAGTAAAGAATGATCGCCTGTTTTGCTTACAAGCCTGTGCCTCTCGTGAGATTGTGGATCCTGTGTGTCTGACATGGAGTAGGTTTCTGTGGCTATGTGGGGACAATCTGGCAAGCGCCAGACCCAGAGCACATGGTCATCTGTTGGAGAATGAGAGATATGTGAAGCCCGAACATGGGGAATCGGATGGTGGAGAGTTGAACCAAAGATGAACAGAACACAGTGCTCTGAAGACTGACCCGAYACCTCCACCACCCTGACCATTTTTCCAGGTATACGATCTCAGCTCCTGTGGACTAACTGGAAAGGACAGCTAATATCCTCTGGTTTCATGCTTCTTAAACTTCCCCACTAAACTAGGCCAAATGGCAGGAGAGCTGGGTGAACAGACCACCTCCCCGCCACCCCCCGCCACCCCCCGGCATCTCAGGCTAGAGCCTGAACATGCCACAGCCCAGCAGGAAATGTCTTTGATGTCTCAAATTTTATCCTAAAAAATTCATGCACATTTTGCATTCTATTTCATAATATATTCAAGATTGTTTTAATGCAATTTTTTAAAAATTACCTGACTTTCCTCCTATTCCAAATCTTCAAGTAAAACTAGTGCCCCAGTCACGCTGTCCCTTTGGAATTTATAAAATCTGTTCTGACCATAAATCTTGTGCCATCCCCTCTTTCACAAAGGAGGAGGGAGCAGAAAGTTTCAGTGACTTGCTCAAGTTCACATGGCTAGCAATGAGACCCAGGAACAGAGCCTAGGAGGCTTTCTCCAAATCCAAGGCTTTTTTAAACCCATGCACCCATCCACCCACTCATCCACCCATCCACCCATCCATCTACCCATCCATTCATCCATCCATCCATCCATCCACCCACCTACCCATCCATCTATCCATCCATTCATCATCTATCCATCCACCCACCCACACACACACACCCATTTATCCATCTATCCACCCATCCATCCATTCACCTATCCATCCATTCAGCCATCTATCTATCCATCCATCCACCCGTTCACCCATCTATTCATCCACCCACCAACCCACCCATCTATCCATCCATCCACCTACCCATCCATCCATCCATCCATTCATCTACCCACCCACCCACCCATCCATTCATTCACCAATCCACCTACCTATCCATCCATCCATCCATCCACCCACCCATCCATCCATGTAATACATATTGGGCAGAACCTGTTAGGTTTTAGACATTAGGTTCTGGAGTGAGACAACCATCGTCCCTCCTCTTATGCTTCTCAGTTTATAATGGTTCATTACCTAAAATTTCTTCTGGGGTGACCACTGGATGGGGACTCCAGCATTCCTCAAAAGACAGATGAACAAAGGATATCCTCAGCTGCTCTTTAGGAGTGTGAACTGACCTGTGACTAGTGAAATCGGGGTGCATAAGCTCCCCTTTGGGGTTGGAATCATCTTGCTAACAGGCCGGTGACCACAAATGCCTGACACGGGCCTACAGTGACCTGCCCCCACCCACCGCCCTTGTGCTGCACTGTGTCCTCCTCGCCCACCAGGCCCCCCTCACTGGCCTCTCAGTTCACACTGAGCCATTTCCCACCTCTGGGTGGTGGCCCACATAGTCCCCTCTTCCTGTGATTGCTTCAAGGAGGCATAGTCTGCACACACCCCATAATGCTCATCACAACCCCCTGGCTATTCCTATATAATACATTCTACAGGTTTTTATCAGATATTTGTGCTATTGATTACAATGATGGCTCAATTCTTGACACTTCCCTGTACCTGTGTCTTTTGCTATGAGACTCTGACTTTTGCTATGAGTGTGTTTCYGATCCCTTAAGTCTAGGCTAGCTTTGTGACTTGCTTTGGCCCATAAAATGACGTGGAAGAGACCATGTGCAGCCTTCCACATTTCCACTAGCTTCCTTGCAACTCTGCCAGCGCCATGGGCTCATGCCTAGGCCAGGTGATTGGAAAATGAGAGACAAATGAAGCAGAGCAGACTCATTCCCCACATCCCAGCCTAGACCACTGGAGACCAACTGCCAGACAAGCGCGTCCACCCAGCCAAAACTAACAGCCACGGATCATGTACAAGAACAATAAGCAAATGATTACATGCCACTCCGGTTTTCTTGTTGGCTGGGACACAGCAACTTCTACCTGATAGTTTAATTGCTTTTTGTCAGTCTTGGACTATAAGGAACAATGTCTTTTTTGCTCAGCAATGCCTCGCACACAGWAGATGCTCAATAAATGTGTTGAACAAGTGAGTGTTCCTGCTGTGTGATGCTGGTCTCTCCCTCTCTTCTTTATTCTCACTTTTGCATACAGGTATATGGGGTAAGCCTCACTGCCAAGAATAACCTTCTAAAGCTCACAAGGTCAAGGTTTGAACTGTCCTATCCCTCCAGCCCTGACCCCAGAACTGGCCCAGTTGACAGCTAGAGAGGAGGGAGGCATCAACATCCAGAAATACCCTAACAAGTATTATATTTGATCCTAACTCATCTTGCAAATGTCACAGGTGTCCACCACCCGTCCACCCATGAAGACATCTGATCGTTTGTTCTTCAGCTGAAAAGATGCTCCTCAGGCAGCCGTGTCACCTGTGCTTAACCTGAGTCCTCATCCCTGCAAGCTACCTCTCCACACAGCACACACAAGAGGATGGGGAGACAGGAACAAGAGAGCTCACTAACCCTCGAGCCACGGTGGCTAAGAACAAGCTCCACAGAAGGGTCCCGGCAGGTGTCCCAGAGGAGCCAAGGGAAGTGCTTCTGCAGGGGACACTGCCACTGGCCCCTGGGAGAGATCTCAGGTTGCTTTAGAAGCAGAATCTACACTGGGAAGCCAGGATGAGGAGCTTCAGTTTTGTTTAAAGCTATTTTAAATAAGTGTCCCTTAAGGAACCATGCCCTAGGGGTAGGGAGAAGCCTTCTCTTTAATTTCCCAAAACTCATGGTGGGTCACAAAGCAGCCTRTTTGCCCCATGGTTCTCACGACAAGAACTGCCCAAGGTCAGACAGGTGGCCACTGAGTCCGGTGATCCCTCCACCCCAAGGAGTCCCTTAGTGAGCTGGAGTAGAACCAGAAGCTCTGGGGACTCTAGTCTTAGGACGTCCACCCTGAAAGGGCCCCTGGGATAAGYTTGTTGACCCCACTGCCAGGAGCAGAATCTTCTAGTCTCTGACCCCACCTTTCCTTGGTGGCCTCTCCCCAGGGCACGCCCCACCCCCACGCCCCCGGATTCACAGGTCTATTTGGGAGGCTCCTCCTTCTTGAGCAGGCTCCKGCGGTCTAGTTTGCTCATGACCTGGGTGATGTCCACCGTGTTGGCTGCTTCTCGAGCCTTGGCTTCTTCTTCTAGCTGCCTCAGGATGACCGGGCTCGGGCTGGAGCGCAGGTGGCGCCTCATGAACGGCAGGGTGGAGCTGGAAGGAAGGACAGATGGGCGGTTGGTGGGAAACCACGCTGCWTGCCCAGCGGCACCTGGTGGGAGTTGGGGCTGGAAGGCCAGACTCTGGATGTGTCCCCTCATTTTCCCGGTGAACCTGAAGCAGGGTCCTTGGAGCCCCGGCCAACCTTAGCTCCTTTCTCCCCACTTGGAAGACAGGACCCGCATGATCACCACCTGCGGTCAGGTTCTAGGTGAGACACAGGGAGACGCTGTGGATGGTAAAAATGGCAGACACACTTTCCAACACTCTCATCAACCACCCCGGTAGCTGAACATCCTGGAGAAAGATGTTCCTGTAAAAAGCCAGCAAGGGGGGCTTGGGGAACGGAAAGCCAAGGGTCTCGGCCTCAGGAAGGAGTTGGGGCACTTTTTTTCTCCTCAAAAGTCAAGACTCTGAGAAGGAAGAAAAGAGCTGGACTGTCCGAGAGGGCTGAGTCCCAGTGGGCACAGACAGAGGGAAGGCCCTGCTGGGGCGTGGGCTGGTGTTGTCCGCTCATGCACAGGGTCTTGGGATGAATCAGGAATGTCTCCAGAAGCCAAACATGGAACAAACTCTCCATCAGGCCCTTAGGAGCCAGACGAGGACCTAGGAGTCCATGTGATGCACGAAGGCCAAGCGGATGAGACACTGTCCCTGAGGCCACACGGGCTTGGGAAAGGAGCATTGCAGTCTCAGGGATTGTGAAGGCCCTTAGAACCCTGGTGTCTACCCTAGGGAGGTGGAMGCTCCCCTAACAGGAAGCCTGACACTGGGTCTCTTGCAGGACGAAGGCTTGGAGCTGAGGTTCGCCTTGTCCTGGAAAGAGCAGGTTTTAAGACAACCTGATGGAACCAGTTCAGGCCCACTGCAATCCCTGCCTGGGTGCAGGCTGAACTTCACRGCGTCCACAGCATTCACAGGCGGCTCTCACTTGAAACACAACACCCTGTGCCAGAGCCAGGTGCTGCCCCGGGCCCTCAAAGCCCCAGCTGTGCCAGGGGAAGGATCCCAGYCGAATTCTCATGGGCGCCTTGGCTTTTAAAATATCTGGAGAGAGAAGCGCGAGGCGCTGCCCTCCTCCCCCACTGCTTTCTGGCAGAACTTCTGGAGCTACCGTGGCCCTTTCTTGTGGTTTCAAGGAGACGCTTTCAAGTCCCCAGGGGCTCTGAACTCCTTTCCTTACTTTGTGAACCTGGAACAGCACCACAGGGCCATCCTTTCCCTCTTCATCATAACAGGACCATTATCCTCGAGAATCAGACCAYGTCAGGGTGCTTTTTTCTTAAGATCCTGTGATAAAGCCTCTGGCCCCACGACCCCTGTTTTTGAATGGACCAAAGAGCTGGAAAAGGGCCCAGAGCGAGCTGAAGGGACAAGCAGGAGAATTGACCAACCACGGTGGACGGCACGCATGGCTGGTGAGGTGCTGGAAGACCTCTGCCAGGGTCCCCTGGTTTTGCTCAGTCTGTCGTTCCCTTGCTCTTTTGAATCTTCAAAGAGTAGAGTATCTTTTCCCAAAAAAGAGTTCCATCTGCCCCCAGGAAAACACCATGTCACCCAACGTCCTGATGGCCGTTCAAGATGACACGATCCTCGTTTCCAACACGGAAACTGAGATTAAATGAGTTAATGGCCTTCCAGAAAGCAGTCCCTGAACASCTGGGGTGTCACTGTTTCCCCTAACAGCCTAGCGTCTTCTTTGGGGGTACAGTTTGCTATTCTAAGGTTCAAACGGTAGAGACCCAGGGATGAAGCTTGTGAATTCCCACGGGTCCGTTTGAAGAGGGAGAAGCACAGCAATTTAAAAAGCCAGGGAGATGTTTCCACTGGTGATAAGGTCATTATTGATGTGCCAGTCAGAACCAGTTTCCTYTTGCACCAGCTTCAGGAAACTGAAACTTCCTGGAGGCCGTTACTAAGGAGTCTTGCTAGAGTGATTTCAGGGCATCGTGAAGCCAACAAGGTGCCCCTTGGCTGAGCAAGGTCCTTCCCAGACCAGGCCAATGTCTCAGTGGTAGCCATTTGGCCGAAGGGACCCTGGCCCCTCTGGCCCCTCTGGTGGACAGTCAGCAAGTACAGGCAGCTCGACTTGCCTTTTCTTGGTGGTCTCCTGAGGTTCGATAGCTTTGGCCAGCATTTCCTTATAGATGGGAGATTTTAAATAGCGAGCATAGGAATCCTAATCGGAACAAGAGAAAAACAGGCGGTTAGGAGACAGAATCGATCACATCACAAGGATACACGTTCCATTCTCCAGCGCCCCCCTGGAAGGTAGGATGGCCAATCTCCTTGGATGCAAGGTGTCCAGGGAGGTGTTGAGGGAAGCCACCCTCAGGTGTGGGCCCCAGACCAGCAACATCGATTTCACCCCAGAACTTGCTAGACATGCACAGTCTCAGCCCACCCCCGTCCTACMTAGTCGGAAACTCCAAGGACGGGGCGACCAGTCTCTAACCCCCTCATTAAAATCCTCCTTGGAGCTGTTCGCCTGTTGTGAAGCCAACAGGGGACGAGAGGACACAGACCTCTCCCATCCAACATCTTCTTCAAAGAACACAAGGAGCCATGGGTGTGAAACCCACGTCCCCGCCCACCAGCTCCCCTGTCTGCCCTGGGTTTGGGGAATAACAGCAAGAGAATGCAAGAAAAAATGACAAGCCCAAGACTTAGACTCCTCTCGCGGGATGTTTCCTGGCGCCCTGGGCAGGTTCAGGGACGTTGCTTCATGAACGTTTACTACTTCCAAACTCGCCCAAAGCGCTAGCCATTATAAATAGAGGACAAAGCCCAMTGCAACAACCGCAGGTAGGGGTCTATTCAGACAGGGCTATTGTCAAGACCAAGTGCGGGCAGCAGCAGTTCTAGAACCAGGATGGGTCTGGGAATAAATAGGGATAATGGAGCCGGGAGTCCTATCGAGCTTGTCGTCATGGGACACGGCCTGTGGGGACGTGGAGACCAACAAGCACATACACTGTTCATTTCCTAAGTCACCGAGACGCTGTTCCATCCTGGCTCAGAGCTGGCCTCCCTGGGCTTCTCTTGAAACAACAATTTAAAGAATCAACACATTTCATAGTACATGAAGGAGGACTATTTTTATAGAAACCGTGCTGTGGACCTCCAGCAAGAAATACACAGAGAAATTTCACTGATGGAAAAAGTGATGAGAGATGGCTAAGGATATGCTTGCCAAAAATTCTAAAGGGTTACCTGTTTTCATGTAAATATATTTCCTTACAACACATTGAAAGACTAACTAGGAAAAAAAAAACATAAATAAGGGAAATAAGTAAACATTGACCGTTCACACCCATCTTCACCACACGACAAGGGACCGGGTACTTTGCCATAAAAGGAATCATTGCCGTAATGAGAAATGGAAGCATCCTTATTGGGGATTCYGAACTGTTCTGGGGAAGGCTGTTGTGGAAATTTCCCGGACCAACAGTCCTCCTCACCCCTGCCTCAAGGATGGACCAAACTAGACAATTCTCCAAGCCTGACTCCGCCTGATTTTATCTCTGTTCTCCTCATTTTATTTTTAACAGTTCCCTAAGAATTCCTACTATGTTCACATTTCACTAATGACCCAGAAGGCTATCTGGATTCTCTAGGGGTCTGGTTACAATCAGATCTAATTTGTGTCATTTAGACACCAAGCCTTCCGTGGGTTCTACTTGCCCAGCACCAGAAACACTGCCGCCACCCCAAAACACAGAACACTGGACTCGGGTACACCCAGAGCTGGCATCCCACGCCCATCTCTGCCAAGACCTTGGGCGAACCCCGGGCTCTGGAGCAGCAATGCCTGCCGCACGGTTCTCCTGGAGAACCAAGTTCTATACTTGGCACACCAGTTGCACCCATAAGGCTTCAACAAGTGGCTATTGTATTAATACCGTCATTAATAATGTCATTAGTGCCACCTATATCACCCCTGCAGAGCAAGGGGCCTATGTCCTCCATGGCCAGGGGGCCTGGGGGCTCAAGGAGGGTCCAGCCCAGCCCAATGGGCAATTCCGCCTCCTACCACCAGCAAAGCCGTATCCTCCTGTCATCTCCCCCCTCCATATCTAAAGAACCGCCCAGGTAGCTAGAACCTCCCTGGCCCCTGGTCCTTGGCCGGACCCCACCCACCTTCTTCATGAGCATGTAGATGTGGGTCTGCGCAGCGTCCAGCACGTAGCGGTGGGGGTGCTTCAGCCCCTTCACCGTGATGTCCATGGTCTTGCCGTCTATGTTTATCCACCGCCTGGCTCCCGGGGCCAGGAACAGTCTGGGGAAGGAGGCAGATAGTCACAAAAGTAGCCAAACCAAGTTCACAGCTGCTTGGGAGGGCTCCCCAGGGTGAGGCTCCTCGTCTAGGAGACACTAAAGAGTCTGAACTTTGAGGAGGTGGTCCCGCGGCTTTTCCTAGAGGCAAGAAAACAGCCATGCCAGAATTGGGAACGAGAGTGTCCAAGTTTGACGTTGCTGCCCTTAGGAGGGAAGGCCCAGGAAGGGAAGGCCCTGGCCAGTCTACCCCAATTTAACACCTTCCGCCTCCTTACTCATCCGGATTCCAGGGCCAACCTGGAGCCAGGACAAGACACCTCCCAAGAGAGGTCCTGCTCTCCCCTGTGCCAACCTAAATGGGTTTGGTGATAAATCTCCAGTGCCGAGTCAGGAAGCAGCCCTTATTCCCGGCACCCAGAGGTGGCCTGGCTACTGACCCTGCAGTTGGCCCTACTTTCTAAGTCCTGTGGCTCTGCCTAGGATCTGAGCACTGGGAGCTTCCCCAGTGCTTCTGATTCTGCAAACACTCGCACGGAGGTTTTTCTACACTCCTAGAATGGACATTAAAATTTTGGAATTCAAAGGTTTACATAAGTGTGGAGGCTGGGGAGAAAGGAGGCTAATGTGGTTGGAGGCTGATGCTCCCTTCCAGCAGATTTTTGGCATTAGGAGTTTTCCATGTGTCGTGAACACAGTTAGTCCATTGTTCCGGGGAAGCCTGAACAGGTCCTTCTTGGACCCCCCCCCCATCTTTCTTGGTGACCAGAGCCCTCCCACTGGAGGAGGGAAGTGAACCTGCCCAACAGAGCAACCAGGCCCTGCTCTCCCCACCTCTCTGAACACCAGCTGGTCCTTCCTAAGGCCACGCGAAGGAAGGATGTCACAGGGACAAAGGCTGAGTCCCTGAGGGGAGGGGCCGCCTGGCCTGCTGCCCGAACACCAGCACCGACCGGGGCTCCGAGGGCTGGCTCCAGCTGCACAGTAGTGACCTTGGGAACCGTGTGAGTGGGAGCTAAAAACACTGGGCCTCGGAGCCCAAGACTGGCGCCCACTGTGCCCAGCGCAGACAGAAGGACCAGTGGGAGGTGCCCACAGCAGGACCAGGGTACCGCCCGGCTCAGGGAAGGACATCACACACGCAACCCAAGGAGACCTGAGGAGGGTCAGCTAAAGAATTCTGCCCTGGAGTCGTGCAGCTTGCTTTTGTAGCCCCCAGACACATTCTCACCGGATCCCATGGCCATCCCACCAGGCTGACTTCAAGGCGCCCAAGCAGACAGCTGGACGGGTGTGGGACCTCCTGCTCCACCCGGCCCCACCCGGGAAGACTTCCCCCACCATCCAGCTAGGCCTCACTTGTAAATCTCCTCCGCCTTCTCCTTGACCTTGGACTGATCTCCATACTTCAGGTCCTCACAGGCTTCCCAGAACCCCAGATTCTCCCCTGCACCGGGAGGAAGGGTCCACACACGGACGAAAGGGCCACCAGAGAAGAAAAGAAGACATAAAAGAAATGGGTCAGCTGGGACGGGGTCCACTCTGCAGCCTGGGGAGCCCCTGCCGTTGTGACCTCGGGCTAAATACTCCTGGGGAAGGGGCCCCGCCTCACGTCCTGGGCGGGGAGAGCATCTGGAACCCAGCAATGGCTTTTGAAATCATCTGATTTGGTGCCCGCCACCTTTGGGACAACACTTTCACATGGTGGGTGCTGTTCCTTCCTAGAGCAATACACAGGACAGAGCTCATCATAACCACCCACCCCCCTCCCAGGTTGTGACCTTTCTTTTCTCATTGGCTTATGCCCATGGGATGAAGCACATAAGCACTTATCCCTACACCCAAGCCTTTCCTCCTGAACGTCCCTGTCTGCTGGGCTGTGTTCACTGACTGCATGACTTCTGCCTCCGGTCGGTGTGACTGCGTGTGGAGACATGAACTCCTGCAGCCCCCGGGGGATCCAGCCCAGAGGTCCTTCCTTGCAAGGATCTTGCATCACTCAGGCATGATGCTGATGGACTGACCCTCAGGGAAGGCCTGGCCACCAGGGGGATTCAACTGAGCGTCACCAGAGCCAGAGGGACTCTGTCCCTCTTGGCCTAGAAGAAAATCCAGACCCCTAGAAATCCTTCATCTCTTTCCAACTTTAACTTCTCTCGCCAGTTGTCCATGACACTCAGTTGTCCATGACACTCAGAAGCATTGGGAACATGTTGGTACAGTGATCCCAGGTGGACATTTTTGACTGGGAAAATAAAGATGATCACACTAACAGGCGAGCAAGAGCCTATGAGTGTGTGCATGCGTGCGTGCAAATCACAAAATGCCATGGTAGAGGAAAATGGAAGAAACTCCCCTCTTCTCCTTTCCTGTTTTGTTTTAAAGCTTCCAGGTATTTCAGATTGGGAAAGGCTGCACAATTCTAAACTCTATGGTATTTGTCCCTTAACACCACACAGGTCCTTGCTCTTCAGCATGAACTTCAGGGTGTTCTTTGCACCAGGATCACAGACCAGCGTTGCTCTTAACTGACAGCTGAACTGAGACCAAGAGGGATGGAGACCACCCTGCCCACCACAAAGGGCAGCTAGTTGCCTATGGCTAAAACTAAATAAGCAAGTATCCACAGTAGCCAAAAGGTGAAAATAACTCCAGACAGCCACGGATGGAAGAAGAGAGAAACAAAATGTGATCCTCACGTGGGCTGGAGGATTGCTCAGGAAAGACAGTGAAAAGGGAGGGGATCCCAACACATGACCCAACACGGATGAACTCGGAGGACATCAGGCTACGTGCAATAAACCAGGTGCAAAGGGACAAAAATTGAAGGATTCCACTTCTGTGTGGTGCCTGGAGTGATCAAATTCATAGAGAAAGAAAGAATGCGGGTGGCCAGGGGCTGGGGAGAGTGGGAATTCAGTGTGGGATGGGTACAGAGTTTCGCTTGGGAGACTGAAAAAGTTCTGGAGGTGGGTGGTGGTGACGGCTGCACAGCAGTGTGAATGTGCTTATTGCCGCCGAATTGTACACTTAAGAATATGGTTTAAGTGGTAACTTTAATAACTTGGAAAAAATAAAAATAAAATGATAGATTTTGTTAAATGTATTGTAATACCAGAAGATTAAGTAAATAAACACAGAAAAGTCTATGCGCCAATGTTCACAGTAGCATTATTTATAATAAAAGTCAAAAACAGCTGGGTACGGTGACACACGCCTATAATCCCAGTGGCTTGGGAGGCTGAGGCAGGAGGATCACAAGTCCAGAGCCAGCCTCAGCAATTTAGTGAGGCTCTAGGTAACTTAGCAAGACCCTGTCTCAAAATAAAAAAATAAAAAAGACCTGGATGTGGCTCAGTGGTTAAGTGCCCCTGGGTGCAATTCCTGGAACATCAACAAAAACAATAACAAAAAAAAAAAAAAAGGTCAAAACAGCCCAAATGTCCATTAACTGATGAATGGACAAAAGGTGATCTATCCATACAATAGAATATATTGCAGTCATAAAAAGGAACGAAGCCCCATTACACACTACAATGTGGACAGTCCTTGAAAACACTATACAATAAGTGGGGAAAGACAAACAATTATGTGTTTTATTATTATTCCATCTATAAGAAATGTCCAGAATAGCAAATCCATAGATCCATGAGTGTCTAGGGCGGGGGGTGGTTAGGGGAGAATGGAGGGGGAGGGGGGAGAAAAGGGCAGAGGGAGGAATACGAAATGACTTCTAACAGGCTAGGGGGTTCATTCTGGCACGGTGAATTAGTTTTGATGGCTGTACAAACTTAATGAATGTGCTCAAAACCACTGAAATTTACACTTTATTACTTTTTTAATATAAAAGAGTGAACTTCATGTTATGTGGATCATATCTCAAATTAAGTTTTTTTAATTAAATGAGAAAACTGATTATTCACCTTCTCTCTTCATACGTGAACCCTTGGGCTTCTCATAAAGAGATTGACAATAATGGGTTTCAATAACGCAGGGAATTCTGATTCCAAGTAACTATACTCGATGTAGTTTATCACCTAGCCACTAGATGGCACCATTTCCACTTATTTACCTGCCAGGCCTAAGAGCACTCACTTCCATCGCCTTTTCTGGGGTTTATTACATTATGGCCATTAGGCTTGATTAGGGAGAAAATTTTTCAAGAATCCATGTTATCATGTGATGCTCTGCATCAGACAGGCCAATGGACCAAAGGCATGTCCAATGGAATTTGTTTCCAGAGCAACCCCACAGGTTTGAGTGGTGAGCAGCTGAATCTCAAGGCTCAAACATGAAGATCCCAGGGCTGGGGACTTCACAAGTAAGCAAATACATCCCAGGAAAGCAAACATTTCAATGAAGGTGATGAAGCCAGTTGAATGTGCAGCCTGGTGACCCTGGTTCTAATCTGGCCTCTTGGTTTTCCCAGATGTTTCTCAACACACTATATTTAAGAAATTGCAATTGCTCCACCATTGGGGCACCCAGAGATGGGGTATAAAATGTGGCCCTACCACTCATCACCATCTGCATGTTGCTCGGTCCCTGACAGGAGCAAAAGCAGTGGCTGTCAATCATGATCACAGATTGGAATCACCTGGGGAGCTTCCAACACTTCAGCGATTACAGCCCAAACCAATAAAAAGGAATCTCCAGGGGTGGGATCCAGCAAAGATATGTTTAAAATATCCCCTGGTGGATCAAATCTGCAGAACTAGGCTAAAGAAACATCAAACCGGGCGGCAAAAGAGGTAAACCTCACTTATTTTGCATCCCATCCCAAAAAGCCCTACTTCAGGATGAAGCCCTAAAGCTAACATGGACTTTGTGCAGAGATGCAATTATCCCCCTGGACTGTGGGGCCTCTTTGAGGCCTAGAACTGGTCCTGGACCCAGGACTGACTCTGGAAGCTGTAAAGGAGGGAACCCCTATTTAAGTGTCTTAGCAGAGCTATGGAAGCATTTACTGAAAAAGTCCTAAAACCCTCATCTAGACATTAAAGGAATGTTACTAAAAGTCAAATTTTTATTTTAAATTTTTTAAAAAAGAATACCCACCACTGAATTCTTTCTTGAGAAAGTACTGGAAGCTCTGTCGCCCCTTGGGGTCTCGGATCAACTCACTGAAGTTGAAGGCCCATCGTTCCACACGCATCTTGGTTGGGATTTCCACCCTGCAAGGACAATGATTTGTAAATGTAACACTCCACATGAAGGCAGCGGAGGTCCCTGATGGTGGCCAGGGTGGCAGCGAGGGGCTTCACACTCCCCGTTAGTCTCACAACCCACAGCTTGACCTCTTCACCCAATCCTCCTCTCCCAGTCCCCGCATAAACATGAATCCGAGTGTTGACTCGCCAGGAAGATGCAGCCCCAGACACGGACAGAGGTGGGGGCCACGTGAGCAGGCCCTGCTCCCACAGCCTCCAGGAAAAGAGCTCAAGGCCTCAGGATGGCCCAAAGACCATCCAATGGAGGGCCAGGCTGCCACCGCAGCCAGGAGAGAATTCTAGTGCAGCCTGGGTTATGGATGCTACAGTCACAGCCACCAGCCAGCCACCCGTCACCCACTGCAGCTGCCCCTTCACCACTAATGCATGAATGTTCACAGCAGCATACTCCTAATAGCTAAAGGTCAGACACCACCCAAGTGTCCATCGATGGATGAACAGATAAACAACACGCAGTCATCTACACAGTGAATACTGTTAGGCTGTAAACAGAGGCGAGGTGCCAACACACGCTACAGCATGGACAAGGTTTGAAAGAGCTATATTAAGGGAACAAGCTAATGAGAAAAGATCACAAACTGTTGATTCTACTTATGTGAATATCTAGAGCAGGCAAATCCCCCTACAGAGACAGAAGTAGGTTGACCAGAAGTGGCCTAAGGCTGGAGGGGTCTGGGGGATGGAGACTTGGTGGGTGATGGCTAAAGGATACAAGATATTTAGGGGGGGTGGTAAAAATATTTTTAAATCAATTGTAGTAGTGATCGTACTACTCTATGAATAAAATAAAACCATTGAATTTTACACTTTAAATGGGTAAATTGTATACATATTTAAATATATATATATATAAAATACATACAATTTGGCATTTAAATCCCAGAACTGGGTGTCGTCCGTTATCCAAGGATTGCTAGGGAGGCAGCCCGACATAATGGCGTCGTTAGATGAGAATTGCTCGCTGTACTTGACAATCCTGAAAAGTAAACAGAAAAACAATTTCCTAGAAGCTCAACACCAAGAGAGTAAATCAGTGTTTGGGTTGACCAGCTTTTCCTCTTTCCTTGTATCGATTTATTTCTACACTTATTACTGTCTTCTTAGAAAAGTGTTCTAAGAGCTGCTGGAATTGGCAGGTATTTGGCAATATCTGTCCCTGTTCTACTGTAAATCAAGATATTGTTCCCCAGTCCAGAATCCTTCATTCCTTCTCTGTCCCTAGACCATTAAAACATGACCTCTTCCCATTTCATTGGGATATTTTAAAATTCAGTACMGACTCAGTCTGCCCGTCTCTTGGCTTCCATCTTGGAGGCACAAGGTTGCCACCCATGTGCGGAGATTCTGCTGCCATCTTGGATTCCACTCTCTGTCAGTCATGCCTAAGTTGGGGAACTTGAAAACCTATGGCCTAATTGATGTGTGAACTCCAAACCCACTACTTTGGGCAAAAGCAAATTCACCTGAATTATCAGACCATCTGAGTTGTTATATTTTCTAATGTCTGAGAAGTAGGGAAGCCTGCACCCATAGGTATATATAAGGCACCTATTGCAAAATCTTCCCATAGCTATGGATTTTGATAGAACAGGATCCTTGATCTAGAGTCTTGGGTTTGCAGAACTTGAGCCTCCTAGCTTCCCTTCATGCGTTTTCTTTAATCACACTACCAGTGGATCCGTTGGAAAGACAAAAAAGACTGGTCCACACAGGTCCAAACACTAATAATATAAGTTTATGGTMATGAGGCCCTGAGACAATTTTCCTAAAACTAGAAAGTGAGTCTAGGAAGTATCCAAAAGTATTCACGTCTCCTTCAATTTTCTTTCCATTTGGTTTTATGAAACTGGTTTATATTTTTTAATTCTAATTTGTCATTTATGACAGTGGAATGCATTACAATTCATATTACACATATAGAGCACAATTTTTCATACATCTGGTTGTATACAAAGTATATTCACACCATTTGTGTCTCCATACATGTACTTAGGGTAAGATGTCCATCTCATTCCACCATCTTTTTATCCCCATGCCCCCTCCCTTCCCCTCCCACCCCTTTGTCCTATCTATAGTTCATCTAATACTCTATGTTCCTGCTTCCAACCCTACTATGGATCAGTCTCCTTATATCATTGAAAACATTCAGCATTTGGATTTTAGGGATTGGTTTAYTTCACTTAGCATTATCTTCTCCAGCACCATCCATTTACCTGCAAATGCCATGATTTTATTCCCTTTGATTGCTGAGTAGTATTCCACTGTGTATATATGCCACATTTTCTTTATCCATTCATCTATTGAAGGGCATCTAGGTGGGTTCCACAGTTTAACTATTGTGAATTGTGCTGTTATAAACATTGATGTGGCTTGTCCTTGTAGTATGCTGTTTTTAAGTCCTTTGGGTATAGACTGAGGAGTGGGATAGCTGGGTCAAATGGTGGTTCCATTCATAGTTTTCCAATATGCTTTCCAGATTGGCTGCACCAATTTGCAGTCCCACCAGCAATGTATGAGTGTACCTTTCCCCCCACATCCTCACCAACACTTATTGTTGTTTGTGTTCTTGGTAGCTGCCATTCTGACTGGAGTGAGATGAGATCTTAGAGTGGTTTTGATTTGCATTTCTCTAGTTACTAGAGATGTTGAACATTTTTGTGAAACTGGTTTCTGAAGCACCAGAGTAAATAGTTTTGAGGTTACCAGAGAGTAACGATCAGCCTCCTAACTCAAAATGGGGCCCACTGAACACAGAGGTGGGTACTATCTTTACCTGCAATCGGAGCTCAACAGCAGCAGAGAGAAGTCACTGAAAAATGTGGGTGGGGTCACAGGACATTTTCTTAGGGAATGTGAATTTTTTTTTAAGAATTTTTAATATTTATTTTCTAGTTCTCGGCRGACACAACATCTTTGTTGGTATGTGGTGCTGAGGATCGAACCCGGGCCGCACGCATGCCAGGCGAGCGCGCTACCGCTTGAGCCACATCCCCAGCTSRGGAATGTGAATTTTTACAAACTAGAAGTTTGGGAAGATGAGAAAAATTTTCACAAGAGCCTGACCCCTAACCCCACTGGAAGGAGGGTACTGGACAAAACGCAGCCTTGTCAGTCCCCACGGTGCCTCATACCCCTTACCACGGCTGGAGTCCAACACAGTCAGAATGAACAGTGAAAAGAAACAAAACTGAGTTTGTTTTCATGTGTGCAGGAAGATCTCAAGAGTTACCAAGATGCTCCTAGAATGAATTCCATATTTCAAAAGGATAACTTCTTGCATTTGGGGAGGCACTTAAACCCTTCAGTGATCTGTCTCCCAGATCATTCTCCATGCAGACCTGGACAAGGCAGGCTGATGGTCCAATCAATCAAACATAAATTTCCAATCTCTCCAAACCCAACTTGAAGGTAAGCAGCGGACAGTTAACACGTTGAACCAGTAAATACGGTGTACATATCCCTCACAGGTCGGAGTGSGTGGTGACAGGGATCTAGATGGTTTTAGATCCCCAGGAGTCCAGTTCATGGACTTGGCGACTCTTCCGACCTCCTCRTCCACGAGAGTGGTGGCCCAGAGACACGGCAGACTCACAGAACCTCACCACCCTCGATTTCACCCAAACCAAGTGAGACCTGGAGATCTATTCTGAGTGAGGAGCTGGAAACTCAACCCAAGGGACTGAGTTTGTATCTTACGATTCTTTAGGATCTGATCTCAGTTCATGACTTATCAAGTCTGCCTTAGAGCAGAAGTTTCCCCTCTTGTCTACCTGCTGCAAGACCAGGTTCCGAAAGACCAATAAATCAGGGACATACCCTCCAAGGGACACGGACGACTTCACGGTGGACCTCATCAAGGCCTGTTGGTAATACATGATCTGGAAGAGACGCAGTTGTTAGAACGTGTCCAACTCCACGTCCTCAGGTGTCACCAACACTGATGTGACATTTGGCTCCAAGACGAGAAGCCATTGATCCATAATAACAGCCCGCTCTGTTCCCTTAAGCCAGGCACCTGTGTGCCAAAAGGACTCATCCCCACTCCCACCAAGATAGGTGACTCCCAAATTCCAAGTCAGTGGCCTCCTTAACCCCCTGGAAAAACACATTAAAAAAAATGTCCCAAAGAACATTAAACCCAAACCTGGGGGAAGATGCCTGGCTTGCCCTCCCATGCCTCTGGCTGACAGAAACAGGGTGGTCACCAGGACAGGGACCTGTTCTACAGCTTCAGCACTAGCATGCCATCCCCTTCTCCACCACCCTCCCCTGCATTTGGATATCCCCTTATGTCCCGTATCAGTGGCCAATGCTTCCCAGGCCTCAGTCTTGAGACCTGGAGAGAAAATTTGCCCAAATAGGCAGTTCACCATGATGGTGAACTTCTGGGTGGCCCCGCAGTTGTAAGAGCAGGGGGCCAGGATATGGACGCTCTGCTGCGTCCACTCCCACAGTCCTCTCTGGCCAACCCTCAGCTCCGGGACTTCAAGGGGTGTTTCAAATCCTGAGTCTCAGCATCAGCCGCAGTGGGATCTTACAAAAGATCCTCTGTCGTTCTGTGTTGCCCATTCATTTGAAAACAATTGTTTGAACAGTACACATGGTTTTCATTTCATCACTGAGCCCAGAGCAGGAGGCCAAAGTACATAGAATTTGTTAGAAGACTTTAAATCGAACTTCACTGGAACCAGGAAACCAATTACCTCTTTTTTGACAGCAGTGACTGTTTGTTTCTGTAAAACAAAGAAACAAAGCTATTAAACCGATGTCATTAAATCATTCCAGTTCAAATACCCATCTGAAAAATAAGAACCCTTCCCCAAGAGAAAACTGTCCGACTTTTCTTCAAATGTAGGATTTCCCCCTTGCCACATCTTTCACCCTATTCTATGCAAACGCTGGAGGACAAGATCAAGGACGAGACTCGGCCRGGGAAGGAGTATCATTTACCACTGTAATTTTATGCTGCTCTTCTAAATCCAAGATGGATTAAAGACTAAGTTTGGGGTTGGCCTCGATCTTGTGTAGAACCATCTGGAAAGTGGGAGATAAAGAAGGGAAACCTTCCCTCCCACTGAGATACAAAAGGAGGGAGAAAGAAAGACGAGGAAGGATCTTGAGTGTGTTTCTTTTGTCACAGGGGAGAGTTCTGAATGAAAGGTGAGATTCAGTCTCTCCATTCATAACAATCTGATCAACGATAAAAAAAAAAACAAAAAAAAAAAAGGTTCATTGCCAAAACTAAAGCACACAATGAAGAACCCAGTGTCTGTTGACAGCTGAGTCCCAGAGTTGAGCTGCCAAAGCAAGTTCAGGCTGGGCAAGGGCGGCAAGGTGTCCTCTCTCCAGACTTTTTGAGCTAAGGCAGAGAAAGAAGGGCTTGCCTTAGAAACCCCTGGAAACCATGCCAATCTGCCTCCAGCTGAAACACATCACCTCCTACAACCCCAGAGGGACAGGCTCCCTGGGCTCCATTTCTGTGCCTCACATGAGGTTGGGTACGGTGGGTGGTCACTCCAGTCCTGGCCTTCCTACATGTGGTTGTGTCCTCGGCCTGCTTAGTGCCCACTTCAAGCTGAACCTCTTCATTCCAGGAGGCTGCCATCCATGCCACTGAACCAAACCCAATCTTCACTTGGAACGGAGTCAGAAGTCCCGGGTGGATGCACCTTTTCCTTAGCCAGTTAGCCAAAGCAGCACTGGTTCATGAGCCCATTGACAAGGGATGAGGGCCGGCCCACGGGGGAAAGCCGTGTTCTCATCTCTCCTGTCTTAATCCAGCTGGGTTCCACTCTGCTTTTATAGATGCATCTCATGGGAAATCTTTTTCTTGCATAGCAGGGTAGGAAGAGTTATCTCAGAAAAGGAAAGCTCAGGTAGGTGTCTGATTCTCACACACCCGGACCTTCTTCACAGCACCAGGACAATTTCAATCATGTATTTATTTGTGTGACTCTTTTTTTTAAACTATCACCATTAAGGGGCCTAGAGTCCATGGCTGTCTTCCCTTGAAAAATGTCCAGTGCAGGGTAGATGCTCAACAAATATCAAATAAATGATGACTTCAGCTCAGTTGGAGGCCTAGAAAACCGAGGATTTTCTCAAAGCTTTTCCACTCAAAAATTTGAAAACACTCCCCCCAAATGATCTAAACATTTTAGCGACCACACTTATCATACACTTCCATTCTCTCTCAATACAAGGCGCTATTTTAGAAGACATGAATTTCAGGTAGGAAAAGGGCCAGCGAGAACTAGCTACCAAATCTGATGCAATCAGATCTTTCTATTAGAGTCTGGCAGAAACGGATTACTCAGAACAGTATCTAACAATCTCCGACCTCCCTYGGCTCAAAGGGGAAGTGGGATGTTTGCATAATACGACTAGCAAAGACTGCAAAGCAATTTATACAACTCTGTGTTCTTATAWAGCTCAAGGGAGGCAGATTTTTTAATACAGATTTTCTGCTAAGAAAAGCAAAGGCTATCAGAGGTTGTGGGTAACTTCCTCAACATCTTCTGATCAGTCATTGGCTGAGCCATGATTCAAACCCAGCTCTGCCCTTTGCAAAGCTGAGGATGGATCTGTGAGAAACACAAAATCAGGGAGCCCATGAGCTCTCCCACCTAGCCTGCTCTCTTCACCAATTTCTTCTTTGCCCTGAAGCTGAGAAGGCTGCAGAATGGAATGAGTGTCCAGTCATTTAATTTAAAACAAAAAGAAAGCAAGAGCCCCAACCACATGATGACACAAAAACAGGAAACACTCTTTAATTGACACTAATGATGGTAAAGATCAATATCATGCGAGGCACATGCTCCACAGCCAGGGGCGTAAACACCCTCCTTCAAAGAGCCCAGCTCCACAAACTTCCTGTCCAAACACCTGGAGCCCAGGACTCCAGAGCRGACAGACACAGAGGGAAGGGGCGGGGTCCTGGTGTTCTTGCAAGCCATAGCCACCAGCACTGCATTTCCCTTCCACCTCTCCTGGTCCTCCTTTGGCCTCATGTATTTATTTGCTTCTGGGGCCATTAATCTCAGTCTTCGGTTTTTAAATTTTTATATTTTTATTGACTTTACTTGCTTCTAGTATCTCCTTAGGAATCTACTTCTGTGGTGTGGTTTGCTGTATGTTTTCTGGTTTCCAGAACTACCAGCTGTCTTCTGGGAACCAGATTCTCTCATGCAGGTTGAGAAGCTCTTATACCACAGCCTGGGGCCAGTAGGGTTTCAGATTTCAAATTATTTTTTCAGATGTTGGAATATTTACAGGTACATAATGAGATATCTTGGGGATGGGACCCAAGTCTAAACACAACACGCATTTGTGTTTTATATGCATCTTGTACACTTGCCCGAAGGTAATTTTATACAATATTTTTAACAATTTGATGCAGAARACAGTCACAGTGGCGCACACCTGTAATCCCAGCAGCTTGGGAGGCAGAGGTAGGAGGATCATAAGTTCAAAGCCAGCCTTGGTAACTTATTGAGGCCCTAAGAAACTCAGTGAGACCCTGTCTCTAAATAAAAAGGGCTAGGGATGTGGCCCAGTGGTTAAGCACCTCAGGGTTCAATACCCAGTTCCAAAATAATAGTAATAATGATTTTGTGCAGAAACAAAGTTCTATGATATGAATCACCATGTTGATGGTTTTAGGGTTAGGAGGATTTCAGATTTTTTATTAGGGATCCTCCAACTGTGACAGGATTCTTTTGAATCTGAGGCTGYTTCATCTATACTTTAGATGGTCTGTGTGAACCTTAGCTTTTTTTCTACCTTTAAAAATAGCTGTTCGTGGGGTCTTCCCCCAGATTGGCACACAGGTATCTCTGCCCAGGGAAAGGGGTGGCGGGACAGTGCAGGGCAAAGGTTCTGAACTTTTCCTTTTGGGAGGGAAGGTACCAGGGATGGAACTCAGGGACACTCAACCACTGAGCCCTATCCCCAGCCCTATTTTGTATTTTATTTASAGACAGGGTCTCACTGAGTTGCTTAGCACCTCCCCATGCTAAGGCTGGCTTTGAACTTGTGATCCTCCTGCCTCAGCCTCCAGAGCCACTGGGATTACAGGCGTATACCGCGCCTGGCCCAAGTGGTTCTGGACTTTTCTAAAAGATGGAGAGACAATGTTATCTGTAAGATGAGGAATGGCTCAGGACAGAGTCTTGGGGTCAAATATTAAAATTCTGGCTCTACCACATACTGGATTGGCTATGTCACCCYAGATGAATTAGTTAGCATCCAAGAGCCTCTGACTTCTCATTTTTAAGAGGAAGATAGAAGAAAAAAGGGAATTCAGTGAGGTAATATACATAGATAACTGGCTAACTGCTGAGACCCAACATGCAGTGGTTAATCACACACATGGTATGGCGTAAGCCTCATGAYAAGATTACAAGATGCTCAGGCTGTGATTGGGACATACTTCCATTTAAAAAGTCATCATTGTTCATCGGGAATTCGAGTTTCACTGGGAATCCTCTGTTTTTATTTGCTAAATCTTGTAAGCCTACTCTCAATATTATTATTACTTAGCCAAAGGTCATAAGAAACATCATTTTAAAGTGAAGTTATTAAAAATGCACCCACCTACCTGCAATTCTATGCAATTCAAAAAAACCACCTCCTGATGAAATAGGAAAATGCGAACTTTTTTCCATCTAGAATTTCRCATCAACCCTCTCCTTTCTTAAAAGTCCCCCCACCCCACCCTGTATGGAGACCCTTTCTTTACTCCACGGGGAAGAGATACACTTTGCCACACTAAGAATATTCTGCCGAAGGAATCTTGGAGTGCTCGGCATTCCTGGAATTCTAACAACTTAATATATTTCACTTGCAGAGTTTCCCAAATAGGGACACATCTAGACTTGTTTACACAGCTCTGGGGCCAAAGCCAGGATGGAGGTTGTGGACCATTGTCACAGGGCAAGAGGGATCAGGGCGGTGCCTGAGAGACCCTGAGGCCCCTGTCAGATAAGAGCCAGGGAGCGTCTGGGAGGAGGCGGCCAGGCAGACGTCCTCACAGAACCAAGGGCAAGATGAAAAGAACCTGAGGAGTGGACAGCACTGACCGCAGAGAGAGGGACAGAAGCTGCAAACAGGGAAATCCAGAGAAGGAAGTCATTAATGTAAAGCAGACAGGAAAAGGGAAGAGAGACTGCTGTTCCGGAAGTGAGGATCCCAGGTTGCTATCATCTGGAGCAAATCCCACCCTGCAAGGTACTTCCTGATCAGGTGGAGACAGAATTCAAGCACAGTGTGCAGGGCCCAGTGCCGAAGGAAGACGCGGGGCCCCTTCTCCAGAAAAACTGGAGGAATTTTAAGACAGTGATGGATATTAAATCATGCAAGGCCCTCCCGTGTGGGGCCTTGGATGAGGGTACAAGTCACTTGCTTGTGGAGAGGCCCTGGGTGCCAGACTTAGGCCTGGGCTGGAAAGACTGGAAAGATCTAAATTGGAGTCCTGACTGCGCCACCTTTGGCTGACATTACCTCCCGTCATGGACTTAATGAAATCTAGCAAAGCTTCAGAAGGCCACACAGTGGGCATTACAAAGCAGCAGGCAGGATACGGAGCAGGCTCTGCAGGGCTGTCAGCTGAGGGTCACATCCGGGCTTCATGGTTTTCTCTTCTCTCCAACAGGGATGCCCCGACGTTCTGTCCCTCCTAGGATGGACGTGAGTCTTCCCTGGCCAGCGAGCCATCAGCAAACTCAGTCCCCAGAGTGGCTCTTTTTCCAACGCGTGGTCATAAAGGGGGCCACAAGAAGAAAGCAATTTGTCCCCTACTGGTGTGAGCACTAGGGGGGCTTTGCCCCCTGAGGCCCCAGGCCGAGTGCTCTGCAGTATCTATATTTCTTCCTTTTACTCAAAGCCTCATGCGCACACCTACGTAACCACCCTGTGCTCAGCGGTCGGTGACTCGAGCAGGCAGAGAGGTTGAGATTGGAATGCACCCCCTCCCTCCAGTCAACGTGGGAGTCAGCCAAGGTATGAGGACAGACAGCCTCCCGGGTGGGGTCAAAGGTTGACAGGACCCCTAAATCATCTCCCTGGTAACCCAGCGCCCRCTCTGGCAATCCCGGCTACTGTCTGTGAAGCCTGTCGGTGCCCATTCTGGACACTTCACATGAATGGTCCTGTCCGATCCTCTGAGGAAGGAACTCTGGTGGTCCCCAGGTTACAGACGAGGAAGCTGAGGCTTAGGACAGCTCCAGAGCTCGCCCAAGACCACCCAGGCAGCGCGAGGCAGCGCTGGTCCTTCCAGCCGACCTGACCYTCGGCACTCAGTGCTGCCCCTGGTTGCTAGAAGACAGTGAGGACCCTGTCAGAGGAGCCCTTCCTGGGGAGGGTCAGGAGGAAGGGCACCTCCCTGCCAAAGCCTGGCCTCCGATCAGGGTCCTTACCATGGGGCCAAATCCTCTCTGAAATAAAGGGGGAGTGGGGAGCTGTACACCCCATTGTCTCAAGGGGTCAGAACTGAGGGGAGGCTCGTGACCAGGTCCTCCCAGGGCTGCACAGCCTGGCCAACCAGAGGCCATCAGCCTGACACAGCGGCTCACCAGGGGCCCTGGACACCTGCTGGCCTAGCGGCCTCTTTTTCTGCTTGATGGGGTTTGGCCTCTGTTTAAGAAAAAGAGGTCTCTCTTCGTTCAATCGTTCATTCTCAGAAGTCACCTTTCACCTCTAACCAGCTCAGGCGCCATGTACAAAATGCAAAACCTCTGCCCTCCCAGAGCTCTGGGGAGTCTGCACTCTCAGGCGCCCTCTCCTCTCAGGGCAGGTGAGCCGTGGGGACAGGGACACTCGGAGGGTGGGAAAGGAGGCCGGCCCCGGCCCCATGCCCTGCACAGCCAGGTCTGATGGACAGGCCGGTGGCTGAGGGAGGCCGAAGGGTCAGCTTGCATGAGACGCAGGCGCCTGCTCTTCTCACTAGTCCACAGCAGCCCGAGGGCACAGACGGAGGAGGAGAGCTGCAGGGAGAGAGAGAGGGAGAGGTGAGCCCCAGGGGAGGCGCTGCTGCTGGAGCCCACCATGAGCCCACACTCAGCCTCACACCCTCTGGGCCCTGGCTCTGGGCTGGAGGCACCGCCAGCCGCTGGCAGGAAACGGGTTTGAGAGCCAGAGGCTCCCTCCCTCCTGCACCACCAGGGAGGACGTGACCCTCAGGGGTCGCCCCGACCACAGCACCCCAGATGGAGCAGCTCAGTTCCGGTGTCCTCCCCCCCACACACCCCGCCACATCCGCAGCAGAGCCTCAGTCACAGACACGTGCCCCCCCCCACTGTCCCCACGCCCCACCCATGTCAGAGCCAGTGACGTGCTTTCTTCCTCCGCCCTCCCCCTCCTCCCCAGGAAAGAGGTTTCCAGAGCAGCCCTGTTAGCCACACAAAAAAGGCAAATCCTCCACCCGGTTCTGTGTTTCACTGGCTGATTCTGTTTCCATGGCAACCGAGCCGACAAGGCCTCAGCAGCGATCTGCTATCTGACAAGGGGAACCAGGAGAGGCTGCCGTGGGAACGGCGCTGGGGGAAGGCTGACAGCCCCACGGGGGGATCAAAGAAGGGTCAGTCTGACTTGTGGACAAGGGACCTAACAAGTCCCCCGGTGACACTCTCTAGGAACTCCAAGTCCCTCTCCGCTTGTCCCAGAGCTGCCTTCCTCTTCCCCTTCCACAGCCGCCTTCCTAGCCCAGCAAGCCCTCCAGCCCTGCGCTCAGGCTGCAAGGCACAAGCCTGCAGATGACGCTGCACTGAAGAGGGGCCTGCCCCTGGCCACCAGAGACACACTGGACGGAAAACCATGAAACCACCCAAGACAAATTTACCCGGGTTCTAGGCTGGCTGGCGGAGGTCAGCAGCTCCCACCTGGGCCACCCTGACTCCCCCCCAGGGACACTGGGCAATGTCTAGAGGCAGTTTTGATCCTCGGCCTGAGGATGTGGGTCCAGTAGAGGAAGGGAGCCACTGGCATTTAGTGCACAGAGGTTAGAGAAGCCGCTAAACATCCTACACTGTACAGAATGCCCCCTCCCAGGGAATTAGCTGACCCAAAATGTCAACAGGGACATGGTTTCAACAATATACAAACTATGCTTCTTTAAATTACAAATATATATTTGAAATTGGCCATCCATTACAAATAAAAAGTTGAGAGTCTCTGGAAGATCCCCACCAGGACATGAAAGACACTGTGACATTCTAGTCCTGTGGACTACGGTTTAAATCTAAAGTTGGTTCAAGGTTTCTGAGCCTGAAGGTTACTCAGTGTGTAAAATGTCTGCCTGTGCATCTTGGGGCAGGGTTGCTCCTAATTCTCATCAGATTCTCAAAGGGGAAAGTGACTCACAGAAGACTAAAAACCAATCATCTAGATGCCATCTGCTCTGACCCACACCCTCTACTCTCTCCCAGTGTCACCTCCCTTTACCCAGGACCCTGGCCATGGCCTCCCCTCTCCCTGGACCCTGATGCCGCAGAGACATGGTGCTCCTCTCCATGGCAGTCTCAAAGGGAAGATGGCACTGCCCACACAGGTAAGAAGGGACACGTGGACGCCTTCCCTGCCTCAGAACCTGGCCTGGGTCCCACCCACAATGCAGCAGAAACGTACCTGGTTTACCTTGACTTCATTTGGATCGGTCACTCGGTCCAGGCCATAGTCCAGCACGTCGTTCATTCCCGGCTGAATGGAATAAAAACAATGAAAGAGTCACTACAGGAAGTCCCCAGTTTCTGATTAGATTCTGGGTCTTGACCAAGCGGCCAAGCGTGAGACTGAGCTGAGAAGGGCTCGTGGCAGAGTGCACGGGGAGACGTGAGGGTGTGTGAACCCTTCAGGTGAGCGAGAGAGCTTCCTGCACCCACAGCATCCCAAGAGCCTAAGAGAATAAGAGGGAAGGATGGATGGGCAAGCGGGTAGGCAGATGGTTGGATCAATAGAAGGATGGGTGAACAGACGGATGGCCTCTCCAGAACCACAGTGGGATGGATGGATGGATGGATGGATGGATGAATAGATGGAAGGGTAGATGGATAGACGGATGGATGGGTGGGTGGATGGATGGATGAATGGATGGGTGGATGGACAGATGGGTGGGTGGATGGGTAGATGGTTGGATAGGTAACAATCAAGTTCAGTCGCAGTCCTTTGGGATCAATACATGGAACTCCTGACTCCTTCCATTGTGCCCCTTCCCCACACTCTAGTTTCTCCCTCGGGCTGGGTAGGACAGTGGCAGCACAGCAGCGCATTGGAAGAGTCCAAGCTTCAATCAGGCRCCTCTGGGTTCCCATCCTAATTCTGCTGCTTCCCAGCTGTGCCCCAAATCCTGGAAACCACTTCTCCCTGCACTTGCTGACTCACCGGAGAAACAGAGACGGTGCCTCCGACCTGGAATGTTCTCATGAGGGCTTAGCAAGGTGGGATGTGACACTGTCAGCGGAGGGCTACTGTCATTGAGCAAGGGACCGTATTCATTATAAGATCCTGTGTGTCAAGAGGTGGCCCAAAGCTGGGTCAGCCATCTTTGCCAGATCCCTTTTCCACCAGGTCACCCAACTCCCCAGCCAATCTCACTTGGCCTCTCCCAACTCCCTGAGGYCAGCAATCTAGGTGGCCACTTCTCTGCAGGTTTGGGGCAGACCCACCAAGTGCTGAGCACCTGTTGTTAACCAGGCTGGCTACACTGGAGCAGAGGCTTGGAAGTGACTGAGCTTCTTCTCCATCCGATTCAGCCTCATCTAAGATAGAGACCATTTTTAGCTTGGGGTAAGGGCTGCCAGACMAAAAAAAAAAAAAAAAAAAAAAACGAGGAGGCCCAGTTAATTTCAGATTAACAGCAAATGATTCAAGTCCCATTATGTTTACACTGACTGTGTATCTATACCAAAAATAGCAAAGAGATCTTCATAGGAAATACGTTTTGATGTAAAATATATTTTATATAAAAATGATTCGTTKTTTATCTGAAATTCAAATGGAACCGTACACCCTGTGTTTAACTTCCTAAATCTGGCAGTCTAGCTCAGCAGGCGACCGTGGAGGCAAATACTGGGCCGAGAGCCTAGGCAAAATAAAGAGCGAGAAAGCAAGAAACAGAAGACGGGCGCGGAGCAGGACTGGAAGGGGAGCCCCCATCCTTGCCCTGGAAGTTACTGGGGACCTCCATCAACAAACAGTCATGAGGCACTTCCTGTGTGCTGGACTCTGTGTCCAGCCCTGGGGAGCAGGTGAACGGATGTGCCCCCTGGTTTCGGGGGGCATCCTCAGAAGGCAAGTCAAGCCGCTTCCAGTCTTGAAGGATAGAAGTCACTCAGCAATTAATCACCCCAAAACCAAATTACAGTTGTGACAAGTGGCATGAAGGGACAATACAGAGGTGTAAACTGGCCCTCACGGGTATCTAGCGTAGCGCGGAGAGGAAAGTGGGGAGTGTGGCCATCCAAAAAAAACATCCTTGCCTGAAATGGGTTCTAGGAATCGCCCCCTTCATCGGGCATGCGCTGCCGGGTGACCCTTAATGGCCTGGGCTGGGCAGCCGTGAACTGTCAGACCTGCCGCCACCTCTGGACTTTCTTACTCGGCCAGCCGATCCAGGTCAGCCCCCTCAGCTTCCCTCACCAGTTCTACTAGACATCCAGCCGCCTTCCTTTGGCTGTCCTGCTGCCCCAGCTCCTGCCCTTCTTAGCCTCTCTGTGGGCAGCAGCCCCCTAAGTCTTATATGTTCCTGCTGTGGTCCCACCCAGGACCCTGCTTCCAAACCCCCCAGGGGGCTGCCTTTCTGCCTCTGCTGGTTTGGGAGACTCCGAGGCTCATGCATTCACTCACTCACTCATTCACTCTTCAGTACATTAGAGCTGACTCAGTGTCAAGAAATCAGGACAACTGAGGTGCCCCTGCAGCCTGCAGATAAGGAGGCACACAGACACCTTCTGCCCTGGTGCCACATGCACGAAGGACTCCACAGACATGTGAGCGAACTTCCCCAATTCAACCAGAACTGTGAACACCGGGGTTTGCCGCCCCAGCTACACCCCTTGGGCATGAACAAAATTTGCTAAATGATTGGGGATCTCATTAAGGAAGAGCCTTTTGCATTTTGCCATCACTGCTTTGTGAGCATCCGAGTTGATGTGCACTGTGTGGTGACCCTCTACCATGTCACTCTGGGCCCTTCTTCAGTTTCATCTCCTTCATCACTGTGTTTCTGAAAACATTTTGATGCATGGGAGAGAAAGGCTAAATTATTTAATAAACAAAATAAAATAGGGGGCCGGGTGTGGTGGCACATATCTGTCATCCTAGCAGCTCGGGAGGCTGAGGCAGGAGGATGGTGACTTCAAAGCCAGCCTCAGCAAAAGCGAGGTGCTAAGCAACTCAGGGAGACCCTGTCTCTAAATAAAATACCAAATAGGGCTGGGGATGTGGCTCAGTGGTTGAGTGCCCCTGAGTTCAATCCCCGGTACAAAAAAATAAATAAATAAATAAAGCAGGGAATGAAGCTGGAACAGGGAGAGAATTWTAGGTTCAAAGATTAGAGAAGTCTGCCGCAAGCTTCTCTTGCCTTGAACGTCACTCCCACGGAGAGGTGTTCCCTAACCCCAATCTGCTGCAGGGCCCCTGCCTCCTACGAGCTGCCACGGTGTTCTGTACATTACTCATTCATTTATATAATAGTTTTAGTCTTTGTCTCTCTGCCAGACTGTAGTAAGTTCCTCGAGGTCGCAGGCCGTGTCTGTCCTGGCTCACAATTCAAATATCCCCACCGCCTCGTAAGCATCTGGCAGAGACTGGACATGCACAAAGTAGGTGCTAATTTCTCAAAGATTAGGACCAGAGTATATGGAGTGTTCCACGCTGTTTTTACAACACAACATGGTCTGCCGGATCATTTTTGTAGGTCATCGAATGGCCTTTGAAAATGTCAGGTTAATAGCTTCATAATGTTTCGTCATCATCATCATCAACATGTTGGCGCTGCCTTACTTTACTTTGCCTTCTCCCTCAAGGAGTACTTAGCTCACTGGAAAGTGGAAGCCAGACATCCTCTTCCCTGGAAGGCAAGTGTCTGGGTATGTGGTTGAAACAAGGGCCAGTTTGCTTGGTATTCACACAGGTGACCACTTGATTAAGGCCACACACCACCAAAAAGCAGCCTCTGTCCACAAACCAGTCCTGAGTGACAGACTAGGTTCAAGACCCAGGTGGCACCACAAAGATGCAGGGAAGGCTCAGAGTGACCGGCTGCAGGAACCATTCACAYTCCTCTCTGCATCGTGCTCATCTCCGTCCTCTGATCCATCCAAGTCAAAAACAAAAGAGAAACAGGGTTTTTTTCTTCACAACAGGATGCTGACTCACGGGTGGCATTTGGGCTCCGAATGGGAACTGGGATCACACTCCTCAACCACCGTCTCCCAGGTCTGCCACTGGCCTCTTGCCAAGGATGCTGTTTCCCACGGAGCATCCGACAGACCTTCCTTCCCCTTCCCTGAAATCAGTCACCACTGGCGGTGCCTGCTGGGCACTGGGGTCTCATCTCTGGAAGAGGGCTACCCACCCGTGTGATGGCAACTTGGAGTTTGAGCTCCTTGACTGAGAGAGAAGGGTACATGGGGTCCTCCTTGACCAGGAGCAGCCTGTGGGGTTCTGCCACCCCACAGAGGTGGAGGCACACCCAGCACTGAGCAGACCGAACTCAGCCTTGACTTCTCCATCTGAGCAATGGAGTAACGACACCTCCCACTGGACCGCACTGCGGCCAGTTGTGATTGAGACAACCTCAACACACCTGTACACAGCAGGTGCTTGATGATGTAGCTCTTGGGTGCCCAGCACCTCAATCCTTTCCTGGCACACAGAGTCAGGGCCCTCATTGGGGCCCAAGTCAAGTTCATTGACTGCGGCCGAGTCACACTCTACAACAGGTGGCTACAGTTGGTCCACAGAAAGCCTGTTCACCCTCCAGAGAGCCAAATGCTTACTCTGCTGTGACTGGCTTTTGTCCCACTGAACTGATGCTTGTTTGGGACTCCTGGAGACAGTCTTGACAGACAATAGGCTCCCTGGCTCCTCAGAAGGACTGCTCCATTCTGGGCTGAGATGCTCCTCAGACTGAAAACTGTCCACTCCCTGTAGGCCAATGAGAGGTGGAGCCTGTTTTAAAAGAGTCGAGGGGGGAAGCCCCGGATGCAGTCCTGCCACATCCTTGACTACTGGTCCAGATTCAACCGAGGGGAGCAGCACTGAGGGAGGAGATCAGATATGAAGAGCAGTTTGCATCTTAGGTGTTTTAGGACTGCTCCAAGCACATCAGAGTCGCACTCTGAAGTGGGGTCTATTAAAGAGAAAGCAGGCCTATGTGACCCCAGGCACCATGCTTCTTGGAGCAGCAGCGACCCAGGCAGTATTCCCATGAGCAAGGAAGTTACGAAACACCAAAACACACGAACATGGCATGTGACATTGTCATGAGAGGCAAAGGGGCATCCAGACCAAGAGGGAGGATCCCGTCAGCAGTGTGGGTTCCGAGCCTCTGGCACTTATGAGCTGTGTAGCTYTAGGCACATTAGCAACACCCCTGAGCCTCAGCCTGTTTATCAGTAAGATGGGGAAATAACGCTGCAAAGATTAAAGAAGACCGAATGCAGAACACTCAGCACAGCACCCAGCACACTGTGAGTTTTCTCAGATCAGTTGCGATAATGACATCAATGACGATGACAACTGTGCTGATGGTGGTGGTGAGGTGGAGAAAGAGRGGGAGTTGAGGGAGATAAGTGGGGATAGTCAGCAAGGTGGTGGAAATGGGGAAGGCGGGGTAGGGGATGGAGTTGGAGGTCGGCCATGGTCATGGTGGTAGAAATGGGGGCGTGGTGGGAGAGTCATCTAACATGCTGTCCTATTTATGCTCTTCTGTACTGTGCTGCAAGGAACCGCTCAGCTCAGCCTTTTGTCCGATGGAGGCTGAGAGCTTACTCCAGGAGAATTAAGCAGGTGATGTGTTATTCACTTTCTTTCCTACAGACTTTCTGGGTACAGAGACAGAGGAGAGGAGAGAGGCCCTGGGCAGATCACATGCACAGCCAGGCTGTCCCTTATCAAGGAATGCAGTCACACTGGCAATYTTACATCACAAAGTCTCTGAATATACAGTGGAAATCATGCTCCACCTGGCGCAGAGGAGGGCTCCCTCCATCATGGTGCCACTGGACACGGGGGGCACCTTGCCAAGCTAGTGGCACATCTTCCATTGCAACAATCTCACTCCTAAGCTACCAGTGAGGAGCATGTCCTTGGTGTCCTGGTCTCCAGARCCCTGTGCCCACCTGACCCAGCTCACTTTCTGCTTCTAAAAACTTCTGATACCTAGCAGCAGGCAAGGAAAGTGAAAGAGGAGGAGGGAGAACATCTGTTTACAACTCTTGAGTTTCCACAATCTCTTCCACATCCTCCCACCTCCCAGAAGAAGCACCTGAGCTTGGCCCAGGAGGACACTGAGGCACTGGAATTAACCCCAGCAGGTGGCAGCCAGAGGCTGCTTCTCTCTGCTGGGGGGTGAGGTGACCATTTCCCAGAGATGGGCTGGGACAAGTCACATGGGTTATGGGCAGCTTGTCCCGCCAAGCCAGGAAAAGCAAAAGCGCTCCCAAGCCAGGAAAGCAAAGTGCTTCAAGCGATGAGAAGCTCATCACACACTAATGCGCTCTCTTCTCCCATCTCAGTTGCCGGGGCCTGGATCTAAGGCAGGAGGAGAGGGAGCTGAGACACACAGAACAGCTTTGGCTCTGCAGAGTTTCCATTCTCAGAGAATTTTATATTTCTGCTTTGAAACCTGTGTTCTACATCTTTCTTCTTATATTCCTTTCCAAGGTGTGGTATCCTAAACAAAAAAAGAAAATGTCCCAGCCCTCCCAAAAGACACATTCATCCATGTCCCTTGCTACCTGACATTCATACCCTCCAGACACAGGGCATGTCTTCTCCGAGCCTGGTGGTGCTTGGAGGCTCACCCAACTCTAAGCAGCTCCTCCTGATGACCCAGTTCTAACTCCAGAGTGGGAGGAGCTGGCAATGAGCATGGTGAGCGCAGAGAGAGAGGGGGTACCTGGCAAGAGGTGGGGGAACCCGTACTCACAGGGCATCGGTGCACCAGCCAGTAGGCCTTCTCCTGGCAGTCCAGCGCGTACCTGTCGGCCTTGTTCCTTTCCTTTCCAGCCCTGGGAAACCAAAAGCCATGATTAAGGCCATAACCCTTTGCATCTTTTAGTCCATGATGGTCTGTGTTCTTGGCGACCTGGTCTGCTCACCCAATCTGTGCAAATAATTCGCATGCACCACAATAATAGCAAACGCTAATTTCACACTCAGGCACTCAAACCTCTTTTACACATATTAACTGGTTTGATCCTGGTTAACCCTCTCAGTGACCTTTGCTGGCTTCATAATTCAAGGAACTGAAGCAAAGAGCAGTTGAACGGCCAGCCAGGACCACACTGTCAGCACGTAACAGAAATGGGACTTGCACCCAGAGTCAGATCCAGGTCCAGCTCTCCCTGACAGCACTGGGCTGGGCTGAGGTAGACCGTGTGGCCATAACCAGCTCTAGAATCAAACAAGCTTCACACTGGAGCAGGCGGGATGCCCATCCGGGCCACCATTGGACCCCCTGGCTTCGTACTGGGTCTTTTTGGTAAAGAGCATAGTTAACATCTGCACAAGCTGTCAGCCTCCTGCGATGGGGAAATGCAGGCCTCAAGGACTCCTTTTTTCCTCCCTGCTGATGAGTTCTTTTGATCACTCCCAAGAGTTCAGGCCTTTTCTGAACTCAGCTTGGGCCTGGGAAAGGCTGGTCATTTCCCTCTCCTCTCTCAGCGCCCTCCTTTCCCATTATGGAGAGGTTGTGACTCTGGGCTTTCCTCTGTCAGGAGCCAAGGAGCTCCAATTATCACGCCACCGGCCCTACTCGGTCCCATTTCCGCGGTGAGCTGTGCTCACATTCATTACTGCTTGTTTTCCCAGGCGACATGAGATGACGCACAGGCCCGCTCCACCATGGAGTCTGCAGATTTATTTCCCCGTTAATGTTCTGTGAACAACACAATAACATCCAGAGACCAGATGGGTGAGCAGCGCCACTCCAGCGGGCTGTTTTGCCAACCTCTTCTGGAAATTAAATATAAACAGTGTCTCTCCCCACTTCCCCTTGACAACCTAACTGGATCTTCTACCGGGTTAACTAGCTGGTGTCCCCAGGAGGATGGCCACACACAGCCTGCGGCTCGGCGGGGTTTCCGTGATGCTGGACGGCTCTAGAAACAGTCCGTCTCTAATTCACACTCGTGGTCCTGTCTGGCTTTGCTCATCTGCTTCTCTGTGATTGATATTCATGGAAGAGGGAGGAGATAGATGGAATCCAAGAGAGGCAGTAAACTCAGGATTCTTTGAGTCGGTCATATTGTGATTTTTCTTTAGCAAAAGCATTTGCTTAATCATTCATTCATTCATTCATTCATTCATTCATTCATTCATGGATTTGTTGATCTTTCTCTATGTTTCAAGCTCTGGGAGAATGCTGGTGAGCCAGACAAAAGTCTCAGCTTTTGTGTAGCTTCTGATCTAAACACTACACAAATGGTAAAGAAATAAACATAAGATTGCAAGGTGCATGATATGCTACAGGGAAACAAACATTCAGGTAACGCAATGTAGAATCAGGGATGGTCTCTGTGGTGATTTTTTAAAAAATATGTCTTCAATTTTTTGATACTCCTTCCAAAGACAAAAGGGTCTATTTTCCCTCCCCTTGAAACCAGGTGGGCTTTGTGATGGTTCTAACCAATATAGTAGGTCAGGCTTGGTGCTGGGTAATTTCTGAGGCTGGACCACCAAAGATGGGACAGCTGCCACCCTCCTCACTGGACTACAGGTTCTGGAAGCTTCCACACCTGTAAGCAATCCACTGCCCTGATGCTGTCCTGCTGTGAGAAGCTCAAATGACCACACAGAGAGGCCAGAGGCTATCAAACAAGAGCAAGGAATGCCAGCTAGACCCCAGCTCTGAACAAACCAGTAATGTCCTTCCTGAATTCCTGACCTATGGAAATCATGAGAGACAATAAAATAAATGTTGCAGTTTTTAGCTGCTAGGTTTAGCATAAGCTGAGGAACAGCTAATCAGAAAGGCCTCTTTAAGGAAGAGAGGTTTGAAGTGAGCATTCTCTCTGACAGCTCAGAGGACAGGTCAAATGACATGATCCCATCTGGGTTTCAAGAATAAGAACAGGGCTGGAGGTGCAGCTCAGTGAATAAAGCCACTTGCCTAGTATGTGTGAGGCCCTAGGTTGCATCTCCAGCATCAAAAATGTGTGGAAGGGGTGGATCAAGATAGGAGCCAAGAAGCCAGTTGGGAGGCTATTGCCATAGTCCAGCTGATGGTGATTTGGATCTACCAGGGTAGGAGCAGTGGAGATAGACAGAAGTCAGATTTAGCTCAAGGAATTCTGCTAGAGGAGGCAACTGGATCAGAGGACTGGACATGGGGCATCGTCAGGAAGGAGTGGGTGGATGAAGGTTCCTCATACTGAAGTAGAGAGGAAGAAGTTTGCCCAGTGAGATAAAGACACATTCAAATATGGACAAGCTGGGTTTGAGGATGGATAATCATGAGGATCTTGAATAGGCAGCTGGATGCTGAGTCTGGAACTCAGAAGAGGGGGCTCAGCTTATATAACAAAGGGACTACCTYCTGGGCCAACCTATACGGACCACACAGTTCTGTGCTGAGACCCTAAATCTGAAATCAGAAACGGACTTCGATTTAAGCCGTGGATGAGTGGGGAAAGCCAGCCTCCTGGAAGGAGAACCTTGAGGGATGGCTCATTCCATGGTACCTAGAAATGAATGATGGAGAGAAATTCTCCTTGAATCTGGGCGTGCAGAGCATTATCCAGGGCCTGCAGGGTGGGTCTGACGTGCCACTGAGAGTAACTCCAAGCCATGAGAGCTCCCTGGAGGGCTTATGTCAGGGCTGGTGGTGCTCTAAGTAGCAGGGAGCATCCTCCATCCTGCTCAAAGCAGAGAGGTGCAGGACGGTATGGAGGGGCTGGAGGGATGGAACCCTAGGAGGGCAAAACTGGTGCACGGGATGGAATCAAGTCCTACTAGCTCTGACTCTACCACTGCCTTCCCTTACCAAGAGCCTCAGCCAGTTCAACGTAACTTCTGTAAGCCTCAGTTTCCCCACTTGTAGGGGTGAGGGGTGGCAATGAGTACTCCATGCATTCCCCCACACCAACAGAAGATGAGACGACAACCAAGACCTTACCAAAGTCTTGCAAACAAATATTAGTGGTGACAGATTAGAAAGCTGTCCCCCTGTTGCTTTATCTCAAATGCACCCAGGTAGAGACATGTTCATGTCTAAGGAGTAGGGAAAGCTCTATCATGAAGGCCCCCAGGACAACAAAGCCACTCTGCCATAAGGCTGTGTATATTTTCCTGGATCGGCACTCCCATACGACAATGCTAATGGCTATTCCAACCCCTAGGCTGCTTCATTAAATGAGGTCTCTACCATGCAGCCAACGAGCCAATGGCAAGTCTAGACTTTCCAGGATCCAGACCTATCAGGTGAGGGAGTCTGGGACAAACAGAACCATCCAATTGGATAATCATGAGTTCCRGTCACCAGATATTCCTTGGCCCTCCCACTTCTCAGACCCATGGCAGAACTGTAGGGCCCCGCTCTCTGGCCCCTGAATTTGAGCAAAATCATCTGAGCTGTTTTGCTGACTGAATGGTGAGCACTAGAAACAGGTATCACTTTGATCTGCACAGGCGCTCGCTCCCCTACTGCAGCAACCCACGAGGCCCAGAGGGTGCTGCCCCTTCCGAGTGGGTCCTGCACTGAGGGAGGGCATTCCAGGGACCCAGCTGAACCACAGTGGACATGAACGTGAACAGAAATTGACCTGTGGGCTCTACTCCCTGAAGAGTTGGGGGCTGTTTGTTGTAGCAGCCTAACCTCGTCCTGACCAATACACCCTCCCCGCCCTTCGCTGTTCCCAGCATCTCCATCTGGCTGTCATTGACAAGGCAGAGCCCCCTGGGAACTTTCAGCTCTGATTCTAACATGGATACGAGGCACATGTGAGCCWGCACCAGTGCTACCATTTAACAATGCACATTGCTAGTCCGAGTCCTGGGCTCTGCATGGAATTCAGCGGTGCGCCCTGCAGACCACCATGCTCCACCAAGTCTAGACCTTTGAGGGGCCCACTGGTGGTTCCAGTACGTGAACCTGATTACACCCCAACTCCTGTTTAAAATCTTTCTCCAGCTCCTGGCGGCCCTTGGTGCAAAGCCGTCTCATGATGGGCTCTTGCTAATACCTCCAGTGAGAGTCTCGCCAACTTCTGCCCTCTCCATGCCCCGCCCTCTCCACGCCACGGAACTGCTTGCAGCGGGTGCTTTCCTGCCTCCAGCCTYCATGTTTGTCTTCCTCCCACCCCATTTCTCCTCCATGGTCACCTTCATGGTCCTTCACCTGGATACAGCCTATGCGGCTGCTGAGTTCAATATCACTGCTGCAGCTGGCTCTGCAAACTCCTGCCCTGTGGCCTTCATGTCACAGTAGCTCCATGTCACGGCCGGTTCTCTCAACCCACCAGGCCGTTACCTTTTATTCCCGACGCTCAGCCCAGTGTTTGGCACTTAAATGCCCARTAAAGGTTTATCTTAATGAAAGGAAACAAAGAAGGGAGGAGGGCGGAGAGTCAACCAGAGGACCGAGGGGACCCTCTTTCACTCACCTGTACTGTTCTTTGGCCTGCATAATGACAAAGTCCCACTTGTAGTTGATTTTTTTGTTCAAGAAATTGTAATTTTCCTAGAGAAAAGAAACAAAATGAGAACAGTGAGCCCGTGATGCAGGGCAAAGAGCCCTCCACCCACGAGGACATGACCCGGGCTCCCTGCCACTGCCGGCCCGATCCGGTCCTCTCAGCCCGTGCTCGTCAACGAGGCTCATTTCATGGGTGGTGTGGGATTCTCAAAAGCTTCCACCATATGACCTTGCTTTTCTCAGTGGTGTTGGGTTTTGTTTAAAATAAATGTGACCCAAATCTGATTAGAAAGAGAAAACTGGGGATGGAGAAGAATATGGAAACTCAACATTTAACAATGGAGTATGAAAAAAAAAAAAACCCACAAAGATAAGCCTTATCATTGATATGATGTTGGCCCTTTTTAAAATATATATGCATATTTCTAAAGAATTATACCTCAGCAAGATTGTTGCCCTATGCCAGAAGTGTTAGTGTTTTCAGGACTAGGATGTATTCTGGGGGAAATCGGACTCGCCTGTCCTGAAAGAGAAGCTTATACTACTGTTTTCACATCATAAACTCAGGTTCAAATTCCCTAATCAAGGGATGTCCATTGTCATACATAATTAATTAAGTCATATTGTCTCAGGACAAGCAAAATGAAGGGGGTAGTCCCTTCATGCCCAATGGCCTTTCAGGCAAGGGCCTAAATTATGGAGAAGAAATTGAAGCTTGATATGGGAAGACTTTAATTCAGGGAGCTGCTTCTATACAAATAGATAGATGGATGGTTGGGAGGGTGGGAGGTGAACAGGTAGGTGGATGGGTGATTGAATGGATGGGTGAGTAGAAGGATGGGTGGATGGGTGGGGAGTGTAGATGGTTGGATGGGAAGGTGGATGAATGGATGCACGGGTGGGTGGATAAAAGGATGGGTGGGGTGGGGGAATGGATGGATGGATAGATGGGTGGGTAGGTGGATGGATAGATGGATGGATGGATGAAGGGGAGGGTGAATGGAAGACTGGATAGGTGGGGAGATGGATGAATGGGTGGGTGGTGGATAGATAGATGGGTGGATGGATGGATGGATAGGTGGGGAGATGGATGAATGGGTGGGTGGTGGATAGATAGATGGGTGGATGGATGGATGGGTGGGTGGGTAGATAGATAGATGGGTGGATGGATGGCTCATGAGGGTACAGATGAATGTAGTAAGGTGGGGAAGAGGGGAAAAAATCTTACAATGATATTCCACTCAATCATAATGAACTCTACTTGAAAACACTTCTGTACCTTTTCATATTCTTCTAAAATTCCTTTCTTCTTGATATTTCTCTTGGCTAGATAGATGGCTAGAAAAGAAAACAATGACATTTTCCATCATCATCATATTTCAGAACTCCCTTGGCCGCCTCTCTCTTCAGGAGGCTGCTGGGCTGAAGTTAGAGTGCTGGAGAGTGCTCAGCCCAACGGGTCCCTGCCCCTGGGGGTCCCAATACAGATGACTTAAAGGTCGTGATGACAACAAGACAAATGTCACAGAATGCTGAAAATAAATAAGCAATGTGTCAAGCACACCCCAAGGCAAAGGTCGGGATGAAGTATTTACCATAATCTGTATCTTCAGCAGGCCACTGCTGTGTGGGCCAAAAATACGGCGTCTACAGAAAAAAAAAAAAAAAATGCAGGGAAACCATGATTCACCCACTGGGTTCAGACAAAACCACCTTATCCCTCTCCACCACTTCTGCACTCCTGACTGTGAGGACATGAGGCCAACCAATTATCTTTCAAATAAGTTCAGCCCCATGAACACCCAAGGTCAAGGCCAAGTCTCACCTGAAATCTGTAGAGACTGCTGTCAGGCTTGAGAATGAGATTCTTGGGGTCTTGCAGGGGGTAAATGTAGCCATACTTGACAATGAAGTTACCCAAGTTCTGYGCCTCTGGGGAGAAGCAGTTCAGACATGATGTCAGGAGCAGGGGTTGAAGGAAGAAGCTCATTGCCCCACTCCCTCACCCACCAAATTCCACGAGCAGAATCTAAGGAGTGGAATGGTGGTTCCTGAACTTGACTATGGACAAGCACCAGCTGGGGAGCATGCCAAGAGGATCCCCCAGGTCCTGTTCCCAGGACAGCTCAGTAAGTCTGGATGGGAAGTAGTGAACCTAGATGTTAACTGGTACCRCAGGTGGCCTGCTGCAGGTGATTTGGGGGTGATGGCTGGGGAAGCCCTGGARAAGCATCGATAGGTTCTTTGGATCTAAAAAAGATCACATGAATGGTTGCAAATGGCTCTGCTTAACCAACGGACACTTCCTCAATCAAAGAGGAAACAGGAAGGAGGCCATGTTTACTGTCAAGTGCAACTCACCTGCACCCCGGGTCCAGATCTTTCCACTCCTACCCACCTCACTTTAATTCCCACCCCACCTCAGTTGKTTTGGAAGCAAAGGCTTGTTTCTGKATTTGCATCAATTAAGGGAAAACTTTCCTGTTCTTTCTCAGAAACAGTGGAAGCAGGTAGCTTTTYGTGCTCAAGAGAGGGATGCATCCCTCAGCCTGCAGGCCCACCCGCCCCAGGGCCCCAACCTGCATCCATATCATCCTTGAAGGTTTGGGACGACTTGTTCCCCAGCCCCCACCCTGCAAGTCCCACTCCCTCCCCCACACACCAGACCCTCAGTTTGCATGCCTTCTTTTATCAACAGCCTTTTTTCTAGGGTGAAGTCTGGTCCCCAGATTCTTTCTGCTCCAACATCCCAGCTTGAGTACCCTGATCAGACACACTGCCAGGTTCAAAAGCTGCCCGTGGCTTCCTCTTGCTTATCTCCAGATAAGGCAGAATCTGCCAACCTGCTAAGTGGACACCCACCCTGTCACCACCCTCCAGAGTAAGCTGACGTCACTCCTCCCAATCCCCCACATGACCCCTCCATTTCCTGTTCATTCCAATCTGACACCACTGCTCCTGCTAGTCTCTCCTTCCAGGAAGACATTCTTAACTCTCCTTCCCCTATTCAGGAGCATCACTTCTTTCCAGACCAGGGGCATGCAGCACTATTCTGGGAAGCCTTTCTAGATCTTTCCAGCTTCCCACTATTTACACACTCTCCATATTTTGTATATAATAATTATTATTTTGCCCCTAAATTATCAYGTTTTGCTTCTGATTATTTTATGCATGGAAGTGAGGTCTCTCCAATTTTACAAGGGATTGAACCTACAGGTGTTTAACCCACTGAGCCATACCCCCAGCCCTTTTTATTTTTTATTTTGAGACAGGATCTCTCTAAGTTGCTTAGGGCCTCACTGAGTTGCTGAGGTTGCCTCTGAAATCGCAATCCTCCTGCCTCAGCCTCCGGGGCCGCTGGGATTGCAGGCATGTGCTACCAAGTCCAGYGGGTTTCTTAGAGATAGGCAAAGCCTCCATTTCATTTCCCATGTGGTGCAGTGGGCACCACAGTCGGCCATAACTGCCCATGCAGGACAGACCCTCACCCAGGTTGGAGATCCAGAGACGCTGGATGATCCATTGTAGAACATCGCCTCCTGCAAAGCAGAGAAGTATCTGGTCATTGTCACAGCATCCTGACCCATCCTTGGACAGCCATGACCTCATCTGTGAGGTCACCTGGCCAGTCCCTCCCGGCTCGGCTGTGATCATCCCCACCACCGCCTCCCACTTGTATGTCCAGTGCAACTCTGAAGCCTGCAACTCAGGGCTATCGTGATCTGACTCCAGCAGACCTGGAGCATAACCCGACCTTCACACACTCACTGTCAAGCTCTGTTGTTGTGCTTATCTTTCACCTTACGAAAACTTGTGCTTGGACCTCCGTTCATCAGCCAGACAGCAGAGAAACTAAGACTAAACACTGGGAAAACAGACCCAAGGCCAGCTGTTGGAGGGGCTCTAGATAGAGCTGAGACACACGGAAGTAAAACAGAACCAAAGATGGGAAGAGAAGAGGGGGCTGAAGGCCCCGCTGGCTCCCCCACACCCCGTCTCCCAGGCAGAAGGCCCAGAAGGCAGAAAGCTAAATTCCAACCCGGCCTTCAGGTCATCGTGAGGGTGTTTTGTTAGGGTGGGAGGAGGGTACCCATTTGAGTAACGGGTTTCAGGATGATTTATATCTTTGGACTGTGGAGTGGGGCTTCATTTGTGCTCCCTGTAGGTGGGCAGCGGCATCTCGGAAAGGCAAGGTGCTCTGGGAAGTCTTCTTGCAAATGCCAATGGCCACTTCTTCCAACCAACTTCCTCGATTTCCAAGGGCCACGTAGGGTCCCTGCCTGCAGGGGAACTGGCACAAAACACACCAAAGAAGAGAGCCAGAACTCAAGACCCCTCTGCTTGCCTCCTCGTGGCTGGACAGTCATCAATGACACTTCTGTCTTCCGAGGCAGGGAAGAGACATTACTGGGGCCCTCCGGGGAGGTCCCTGGGGTCCACTCACATGTCCCCTGGGCTCATCTCCAGATAACACGACCCTCACAGTGGCTGGTTGCCGACACCTGTGTCTCTTTCCTTTATGTGCACAACCTAGGTCACCAATGGCCAGGCATTTTCTCTCTCAATGCCCACAAACCACCACTACTGCGTCCAATACTTCCCCTCCTATGACTCTTGGCCTGGCTGTTCACAAGCAAAAATCTTCACCTAAAATCAACTTAAAATCCTAGGCCTGGACCAAGTCGCTGTTCCCCCCAAGCCTCTCTTCTAAGCTACACAGCCATGTGCAGCCTGAGAGGCAGACCCCACCGATGGCAGACTGGTGAGCTCTCTCCACCAAGGAGCCGGGGCTCTCATCCTCTTCTCTGCTTCCCCAAACAGACCCAACGGGGTGATGGCACCACCAGCATCTGACGACAGTCTGTGCTGATAGACAGCAGGCTGTCAGGGTCACCTCTACCCAGGAAGCCAGATGGCCACTTGCTGCCATTGGCGCTACAGTTGGAGGACCAGGGCTSCTTCCTGTGTTCTTCTTCTACAGCRTTGGGATTTACCCCTGCGGGAGGAACAAGGAAAACATGACGGGGGGCTGCCTTACCCAATTCTGGAAACCAAGAGTCCCCATGTGTAAGGAAGGGGAAAAAACTACTCACATCTACAGCAGATAAAATGGACTTCGGYTTCCAAGAGCCGGACTCAAATCCAAGTTCACTCATGAACAGACTCAGTGACATGGGAACCCGCTACGGAACCATTTTGTGTCCCCAAGGTCCCATGAAGAAAGGAAGTGGCCATATCTACCTCCAACCTCACTGTGAGTGCTAACAGACACGGCACGGGGCCCACCCATCAAGTATGTGCCACGAGCTGGGCCCTCACGCAGCGCTCTCTCACCTCATTCCCGCCAACGGTCTCTGGGACAAGGATGGCTATTTCCGCTTCCGAATGAGATAACCAGCTAGGGCTGCGGAGCTAGAAGGGCACTTGAAGGATCTGACCTCAGYGGGCCTGACTCTGGGTCAGTGCCCTTTGCAAAGGTTCCCCCCACCACCTGGAGGACCAGGACCCATCGACAYGATCGAAAAACTTTTAGGAACCACCCTTGATGCACATGGCCATGCTAAGCATTGAGATTACCTGAGGAGCAAGACAAGACACCTCTCCTCGAAGTCCCCTCACCCCCCGTTCAGAATTAATGAATTCAAGCCAGAAATTATTCATGACACCCAGAAGCAGAGAGGGGACAGGGTCAGGGATGCCTTTAAGAACCAGTGCCTCGGCTGCCCCTTTAAAGATGGGGGAGAGCAGAGATACCCTGAAAAGCATGCCCACTGGCCCCTGCTCTTTGGGTGCACAGGGATGCTCTGGTCCCCCCTTTCCCACATATTTCCTCTCCTCCCTGAGCTGCCTTGTGGCATTCCACTCATCCCCCTTTCCCCTCCACAAGCCAGGTTTCCATCTTTGGATGCTTGCACTCAAGAAAACCTGAGTGACGCACTGCTGGTAGGGGCACCCCTTCCTCCAAGCAATCAGAAAGGGGAGGCAAGACKAGGGCACCCCGAGTGAAAAGTGCGTGGCCAGGTGACAGGTGGGGCCRAGGGCGAGCTCACATTGAGCACGGCACAGTGGCGAGTCCTGGGCTTGTGTCTGAGCACCCTCTGCTTCATCAGGCATCAAGCCTTAGTGGGACACATACTCGTCCCTGCAAAGCCAAGGTCATGAAGCACAGGTAACTGAACAACCGAGAGGCATTCTTCTGTCGGTCCAGCCCTCCCTCCTGCCAATATCCCCCAGTGATGCTCTGCAGGCCCCTGGACTCACACACAAGGAGGAGACAGCAGCTCCATCCCTGTGGGGACCTCAGAAGGCCCAGGTGTGAATTAGAAGGTGGGGAAGGGTGGAGCAAGACAAAAGCCACTTTTTTTTTTTTTTTCTGCCAAACAGCACTTTGTTTTCCTGCTGATTTCATTAAAATAAAACGAACAGCAAGAAAACATAAACCTGACACGAGGCCTTCTGTGATGACCTTTTGGGAGAAATGGCTTCAAGTGACCCCCTGAGTYCTTTTCTCTTTCTTTCCTAACCCTTCAGCAGAGGAAAACTGTACTGTAGGAATCAGAAAACTTATTCTGTAAAGAGTGAGCGAGTAGGTATTTCAGCTCTGTGGCTCCTGACGCAGCCTCTGCGTGGTGGATATTTTCACTCCCCCAGTGTGGTGTGAAAGTGGCTGTAGACAATGCCTAGGTGCATGGACATGGATGCGTTTCAATAAAACTTTATTTACAAATACAACTGTGGGCCACATGGGGCTTGTGGGACCAAGTTTGCCAACCCCTTTGTGGGGGGTCTGTTCCAGGCCAAGGGTAGGCCACGAGTTACATCACCTGTCATGGCGTGAGGGACACTGGTGACCAGGACCCTCTGGTTCTGCATCTTGACCCCCGTCTCTGGGTTCTGCATGTCCTTCACAAGCGCTTCAATCTGCAAGACAGAGCAAGAGAAGTCATTTCAGAGGCTTTTCATGGCATTGAGCAGGATCCAAAGATACAAAGGAGGACGCTGGGGCATCCCATCGGGCACAGGAACCTCGAGGGCATCGGGCAGCTTGGATGCCACCACCCACCGACGCAGACACCTCCCCGGCTGGGAGGCCCGGAGAGATTCCTCCTGACATGGAGATTCTGGGAGGCGTTTAAGAGCAGATGGGCCTTAACAATGTCACTGTGAGGGCACGGAGGAAGACAGCGTCCCATGAGCAAGAGGGACAGAGAACAGAGAGAGGGCAGATCATAGCGGGCCTCGCATGCCACCTCCAGGTGTGGGTTCTATTCAAGCGGCCATTGCCAGAGAGCATTTTGGAGATGTGACCGTGACAGAGAGAAGAACACTGAGATGGGAAGACAGAGGGGTGACCCGTTCAAAGTCACCGCATGGTCCAGGTGTAGACTGCTGGACTTCCACCCCTGCCGCCTGCCACTTGGCTTCTTCTTAGCAAGGCAGCCAGATGAGGCTTCCAGTCCAATTAGGATAATTCCCGGACCCCCTCTGCTTGGCCATTCTCTGCCACAGCTATTTCTCTTGGAGTGAATGACAAGGTCACTCTGCTGGTCTACATGGTTGGGATCTCCCTTCTTCTGATTCTTGTCTTACCACTCCCCACAGGCTCCCTCCATATTGGTCCCCCTGCTGCTCCCAACAATATCAAACATGTTGCCACAGGGCCTTTGCTCTAGTTATTCCCTCTGCCTGGACCAGTCTTCCAAAAAGATCTACTTATCTCACGGTCTCACTTCCTTCTCCTCTGAGGTCCCCAGGAGACCCATGCCAACGATCCAACTCAGAGCTGCAACTCTGAACTCCATGGTTGGCTCTCTTGATCCCCTGCTTACTTCTATAGAACTCCCCATCGAACTTGCAAAGTGACTTGCCTGTTTATTAAATGGCTTATCGTGTGTATCCCCTTGCTCTTGGAAAGTAAGCTCTGTAAGCACCTGTCATTAGCCTGTGGTTGCTTGCTACTGTGTTCCAAGTGCCTGGGAGAGTGCCTGGCACACACAGGGTACTCCATAAACAGTCAATGCATGAATTAATAAGTACGTGAAAGCAGCAGCGAGAAGATGGAAGGAGGCAAGACTCTCAGAGCCCTCAGGAAGCCCGCGTCATCTGCACTTGCAAGGAATCCGGTAGTTCAGTGAAAGGGCAGAGAACAATGCCAAGGTCATGACCTACAGGACCAGAGTTACCAGTGAGCAAAATAGAAAATGCAAAAGAAGGAGAGATGTGGRTGTGGCTCAGCGGTAGATCACCCGCCTAGCGTGAGCGAGGGCTCTGGGTTCTATCCCAGCAAGGCAAACTATGAAAGGTGGGGGCRGGGGAGGAGCACCTTCTGGAAGCACAGGCTGCAGCTTTGGTATGTGAGCTGTGAAGGGGCCCTGAGACACCCACAGTGTCCGCCGGCAAGGGACTGGAAATGGCTGCCCCAAGCTGAGAAGGACAAGGGTCAGAGCTATGAATTACAGAGTCATAAACATCCAAGAGAGTGTGGAAGCCAAAGAAAATCGATAAATTCTTCCAGGGAAGACTGAACTTCAGGAAGACGGCCACAGGACAGCTCTGATTATCCTCAGCATCATGTACCCCATGTTTACTGTGGTTTTCCCCATCCAAACCCACCTGTGGCTAAGCTTAGTGTATGAATTAGGCCCATCAGAGATTAATAATGACTAATGATAAAATAGAACGACTCTAACAATATACTAACAGCTATGTGAATGCCCTCCCTCTCTCTTCTCTCCAAATAGGAATTTTCCATTTGGTTCTCTCAGGCCAAGGTTGATTGTGCATATCAAATGGAATGAAGTGAAACCTCCGGAGTTCAGTCCCTAGAACCAGGGAAACAACCAACAAAGTCAAACCATGGATAAGGGGGCTACCGCACAGGACGACAGGGCAGCTCAGGAGGCACAGTGAAGAAGGCCAGTTCACGATATCAGCAGCGCTCCCAAAGAGGACCTTAAAAAGGTGAGCAGGACGTGGGCAGCAGGAATTAGAAAGGAGGGTGGGTGTCCCAGCAGGAGCAGGGGCTCAGAATAGGCACCAGCAAGCGAACGAGAAACCTCCCCCGGCCCCTGGCCCAGCGCTCAGCTGGACAGATCCTCAGGGAGGGCTGCACCTCAGACCAGCCTGTCCACATCCTAGCCGGTGCCCAAAGAAAAAGAGCACCCCAACTGACCTGCTTCCCCTCAATTTAACTGACTTGGTGATGTCCTCATTTTTCTCCTTTCATTTCAGGAAATAGCACCCCAACCCCCTACAGCCCATGACAATGAACTTCAGGAAGGGCCTTTTATCATTCGAAGGTGAACCCCAGGGTCCCACATCCCCTGTGGAGTTTCTTTCTCTCCCAACTGAAGGATTTGGGGCAACACAGTGACCTCTCTGAATCTCCTGCCTCCGTCATAAAAATAGGGACCAAGGTAGTACGCATCCCACTAACAGATGTGATTTTGTAATCTCATGGAATCCAATTAAGTAACTGCTCAAGAGCATTTTATAAGAAGAAATATATATTACATATGTATAACGATAAATTGAGTATCTCTTATCCAAATACTGGGACCAGAAGTGTTTGGGATTTCATATTTCTTTTTTGGGGGGAGAAGGGGTTCAGAATATTTGCACATACTGCAATGTTTGAGGGGTAGGATCCAAGTGAATACACTTAGGTTTCATTTACCCCTCATACATATAGTTGTATTTATGGTGTACATATACACCCTGTGCAAATGCTAGAAGGTGATTTTATATAGTATTTTAATAATTTTGTACACAAAACAAGTTTCGACGTGGACTGTTCCACTTGTGGTATCGATCATGTTCATGCTCAAAATGTTTCAGAATCCGAAGCATTCGAGATTTCTCATTTTCCCTCTAAAGATGCTCAACTTGTGTAAGCATAAAGATGTATGCTTTATAAGGAGACACACATGTTAGTTGTTATCATCATTAATAGTAGCACACTGAGCACTGTAATCCCAGCTACCCAGGAGGCTGACGCAGGGGGATTACCACTTTGAGGCCAGCCTGGKCAACTTAGCAAGATCCCATCTCAAAAGAAAACATCAGCAGCATTCATACGATTAATGCATTTTTTAAACTTTGCATGCACCGCCATGTTCAGATGTCCAGGAATAAAAACCCGGTTCTGCTACTCAAACAAAATCAGGTACTTCTTGAGCACCTACGCCGTAGGGGATACAGCAAGGTAAAAGGCATACTCCCAGTCCTTGGGGAGTTGCAGAGACAAGTATGTGAAAATCAAGAGGGCAGGCACCATGGCGCACATCTACAGACTCAGCACTCAGGAGGCTGAGATGGAAGATCGCTTAAGCCCAGGAGTTTGAGACCAGCCTGAACAACATAAGGAGACCCTGTCTTGAGAATTAACAAATATAAAAGCAAAGAGTCTGGATTCAGAGAGAGCTCAGTTCAAATCCCTGCCCCAGTTAAGATGCTAGAGGCCTTCGGTAAATTCCACTAAGACTCATTYGTGTAGAATAGAGATTGCAATAGCACCTATATTATCATAGAGATGTTGTTAAGATTAAATGAAATTAAGCATTTAAAGCATTTAGGACAAAGCTATGCATGAAGTAAGTATTTATGAGATTCCAACCACAGACTAAATTATACACCAAGAAATAAGAAGGCACTGATGGGCGTAACAGCCAGGAGAGGAGGATGGTGTGGTGCCCTCCAAGGGCCGGTGGCGTGGAGAGGCCTGAGCTTCAGGTGAAAGGGTGGATTGGGAATCCTTGCACACCGTGGGTGGGAGGGAAACTGATGTCACCACTGTGGGAAGTAGTTTGGATATACCCCCAAAAAAACAGAAAGAGATTCAACAGTCCTGCCTCTGGGCATAGAGATCCCAAAGAACTGAAATCAGGACTAGAAGAAGGGTCTGCCCTCTGTGTTCACTGCAAAAGCTGAGGTGTGGAAACCACCTACGTGCCCGAAGACAAATGGACAAAGATAACTTAGAGRCACATAAGAAGAAAATTCTGCCATCCACAATATGCATGAACTGTGGGTCATTACAGTTCACGAAATGAGCCAGACTAGAGGACAAATGCCTCCTGGTCCAAATTTATGAGGTCCTTAAAAACAGGCAAATTCCCAGAATGGTGTTTGCCAGGGGCTGGTGGGAAAGGGAATGAGAACTTTCTAATCAATGAATATAAAAATTTCAGCTATGACAAATAAGTTCTAGAAATCTGCTGTACAATATAATACTTGTAGTTAATAATGCTGTACTGTACATTTAAAATTTATTAAAAGGGTAGATCTCCTGCTAAGTGGTCTTACCACAATAAAATGAAATKGAAATTAAAATTAAAAAAGAGAGACTGACCCAGCTGTATGCAAGGTAAAGGTCATTCCAGGAAGCCCTGAATTGCAAACACTCTCCCTGTGCCTTTCCTCTTCCCTCTACAGTCTACTCCTTCCTGCACCTGGAAGGCTTCTTGCCTTTCCAGGAGTGTGGGACAAGGCCCCAACTCAAGGCTGAGGGGTGGGATTTACTAGTTCCGTCTTTGATGCAAAACCAGCATTTGCTTTTGAATCCAAATCTCTAAGAAATGGGCTGAGATCAGGTCACGATCAAGACCGCTCCCAGGCACAGAGTGACTCAGCCGGCTAGCAAGACCCAAGCARCATCGGGGACTCCCTGAGCAAGACAGACCGCAGGCTTCATCTGCAGGCGGTCCTGGCTCACGGGATTGTCTGGAATGGAGGATGTTCATTTCAGATCCACTGGAACTTACAGCCCTTAGCCTTCTGCAAGGTCAGAGCTTGTCAGAGTCTCCAGCCACGGGTCAGACAGGAGGGGTGGCAGGAGACARAGAAGCAAAGAGACAGGCAGGTGCTGCAGAGAGGCTGGGAGGCTGCTGCTGCCCCTGGGGATGGCCAGGGGAGATAGTGGC